GTGCTTTCTCAACCAGTTTTTGTCATCTGACTCGATTCGATGCCAAGTTTTGCCAATGGCTCATACGTGACTTCATTAAATCTTCTTCAGCATCATCTAGCCATCTCTTTCTACAATGAATAAGTTATTGCGAGAATATTTTGGTACTTTTCTTATCTCCATGTACACCACAAAAAATCAATCATGGTCGTAGTGCTCCGCTCCGTTGAGAGATAGTACCCCGTTTATTCCTATTCCTAACACCGTATACAATATATACATATATATTCTTCTCTAAATATTTACTAATAAAACAATAAAATTCAAATAAGTAATATAATGCACCTTATATAAAGTTTTACATATACATAAATTTATTAAGCAAAACTTTTGTGAATGAAATATGGCCTTACCTTCTTCAAATCCCAATAATTAAATACGAGTTGAAATTAATGGATTTTTAATTTTGACTGCTTATAATCAAGTTTAAAATTTAGTTAATCAATTTATTGTTTACTTACAAATACAATTCTTGTGTTCTTCCATAGGTAAAAAAATCATATTTCAATAAAAAGATTTAAGTTAAATAAAATGTGCAAAAAGAGCCTAATAAGGCCATTAAATTTCAATGGAACAAGTTTGTTTTAGCTTTTTGCGATCGTGATTAAAAATAAATATATTATTTTATACTCGTATTTATTTTGTATCAAAATAAATAAATAAAGACGCAAAAGAGGTGGCGCCTAGTAGTGTTTGATTTAACTATAAACTTTTATTATTATTCAGTTAGAGTGTGAGCAATCAATCTGTCTGTCCGCCTGTCTGCTTACTTATTATACATCTGTTTATTTTTCTGAATGAACTTTAATTATAAATGGTTTTATTGATTAATATTATATTTAAAATATTAAAATAGTTGGTCAATAGGTGAAAGAACTCATGCGATCACCTTCAACTTAAACTACGTTCTTTGCAATTGCTAAGAAATTTTGATTTTTTTTTAATTATATTTAATTATTATATAAGGATTAAAATAAAAAAAAATTAATATAAAATAATACTTATTACGTATTCAATTTAAAAATTATAATATGCGATATATATAAATACGTTATAACCTGCACGTATTTCGGCTTGACATGTGTACAATAGTGGTAAATATTTATTTAAATTAATATTTATTTTAAATTTTAGTAACTACTAGTTTTTTAAAACACACTTATATATCAAAATAAACAAATTTTGCATATTCCAATTTGACAAAAGTTAATTTATTATTAAATTTACTAAACACAAACTTATAAATATTTACACTTTTTAAAATTAGGCATAAGAGCTAAATAAATAAATAAACAAAAAACGGTTAATTTTAAATTTAAAAACAAAGGAAGTTTAAAATAATCAATAGAAAATCAATAATATTTAGATTTGCATCATATGAATACTTAAATAATTTTTTCTTACTATAATTTTAATATAATTAGTGCGATAACATCTTTATCGTTGCTAAGATCTTTATAAATTATAAGTGAATCTTATCGAAATTCTCAACAATCAAAAACGATTGGTTAATTTAGAGTGAAGCACCTACTTAGAAAACCGAAATTCCATTTACGAAAATTATAATTTTAAATTATACAAAGTGCCACTTTACAATATTTTCAAATATTTATATAGAAAAGAAAAAAATCAAAATACAACTTCTAAAGTGGTTATAATATGCGAGATACTACAAAGTTACCGGCTCACCACATTTAAGACGGCGGTTTTGGAATTGCTTAATATGTGGTTTCAAGCCCCTCATAACACTTTAACATTTTAAGGGTATTTGAGATTTCTTTTAATCAATTTAGCATTTTTACAAATGAAAACATCAACTTGTTAAGCTTCAACAAATTAACAAGATCATTAAATGTAATCGAATAATTATTTAAAAACGGAAATAATTAAAATTTTATTGTTATAGTATTTATTAATCAAATAAATATTTATTTCATTTTTAATGTACTTTAGCGGCGATGGTCATAAAACGCATTTTTATGTCAGCAATTTGTTAAATTGCAATTTATGTGACATCTAGTGAATTGTCGGTAATTGTTATTGTGATTTGTAATTACAAATTTAATCAAAATAAATTAAAATATTTGCGAAATACTAACAACTTTATTTAATCAGCAAAGCAATCACTAATTTTTTCTAAATAAATATCAACAACTTATATATGCGTTAAAACCTGATGTCTGGTGATATATTTTTATACATCATATATCATATAGAATCTAATTGAAATTAACAAAACGCAATTCTTAAATATGCACTATGTATGTTATTTTGTTTACTTACAGCTTCATTTAGCAAAAATCTTGATATATTCTTCATTTAAAATGAAGTTATAAATAAAATAGATTGCACCTGAACTTTGAAAAAAGTGACACAAGATTTAAAAAACATGTGATATCAATAAAACGAGAAAAACTAAAAGTACTAGAAGTGTTAAGCATTGAAACAATAAGTAATTGGCAAAAAAGATATAAGCTAGCTTTAATTAGAGCAGTGTAAACAGTTTTTAAATATCTTCAATTAATTTATCTCTACAAATTATGTACTTATACTTAAAAATACTAGGCCTTCTCACCAATTTGTTTCTGTTTATCAATTTAACACTTTAATACTTTAGCGAGAGTTTAGTGTTCTTTTTTTTTAAATAAATTTTTCTTTTGTTTATAGTATATTCTAATATTAGCAATTCAAAATGATTAACCATTTAACTGTTAATTACGGATTTCTTGATCAATTCTCTTTGAATTTATACTTACATACATAATGTTTTATTACAACAGTCTATATTCTATAGCTGCGACATATAGGCAGGCTCTAAGTTTAATTTCCTGAGCGATACTAAAAACACGTTTTAAAAAATGAAAGTTCCCACGCTAAATATAATCGCAAAAATACTCACTACAAAAACTAAATAGATGTTTAACTCTTCCTAATAACGGTAGGGATCAATAGGTCTACGCTTGGCATACAGCTTGACAAAGTAACCCAACCTAACCTTGCCTAAAATTCTTTTGTATAAATATTAATAACACTAAATTCATTAATTAAAAAAAAAATGCCATTTCATTAATAGTGTCCAAATAATCTCGGTGATAAGTAAGCTGGACATGTATGACAATGAGTGCTAAGCTTATACCTTGGTGATTATCAATACAAGTAACAAGCGCATTTAAGTTAACAGTAATGAATAACTTACTCTGGGAAACTTCGATTATGTTCACAATTTAAGTGAATTTACTTCATTTTAGTGCTTATAGACTCAATTTTTTTTTTTTAAATCTTCAATATGTAAATATTTATTTGAAAGATTCAATGCCATATTAGCATTCCGAAAGAACTACAAAATAGCTATTTACTGCTGTAAAAACGAAATCAAATAAGATGAAATACATTTACAAGAAATTAATTTTAGTACCTCGAAATTTTTTGCCTTTTGGGTTGTAAACATTAACCGACCAAAATGTAACTGTATTTACATTCCATCTAACATCAATTATATGCAATTGTAGCACCAATCTTTCTCCATGCATCCGCTAAACGCGATTGCAATCTTCCACAACCGTTCCTAAGAAGTGCTTTTAGTGGGTTAAACTGTGACACTGCGGCTGTCGATGCTTTCCAAATACAAAAATCTTTCTCAAAGTTTTCTAAATTAAAAATCTTTATTCATTATTTCAGTTTACAATTCCAACAACAATTTAACTTATTTTAAATGATCGGTTATGAAAGACATTATTATGAACCTTTAGAACAAATTGATATATTGCAGTAGATAATCTTATTTAGGTCATAATCTAACGTAAATTGTTGCAATATATATATTTTTAACAATTGCGGATGATTCTTTTCATTTTAAACAATTCTATTTAAAAAAATCTTTAAAAATCTATAATATCTACTATTAACACTGATGAAATAAAATTCTTATGAGGCTTTCTTTTCTATACATTATTTAACCATTAGTCATTGTTATTCATCATCCGTATTTCGGTGCTATGTAACAAACCGTTTGAAATAAGCAATATGTGAAGTCCTAATGTTTATTCAACTAGAGAAGACTTGACTTTGTGTGTATCTACTAAGTTTTTAGTAGTACCTAATGGCAACTGTAATTCTTCGTATGATCTTAAAAATAATATTATTATTGTTATTATTATTGTTGACGGTAGCGTGAGGTCCAAACTGTTAGGACGATGTGCGAATAATATGTACTCTATTTTAACCTAATTCATTTGCCTCGTTTTTTCTTTATTTAATTTAGAAATTACAGCGCATACATATATAAGATTGTTGCACCCGATGATAACAATATCAATCGGCATATGTCAAAAGTGTGACACTTTTGTAACGTATCACATTTATAGCTATAAAAAAACTATACTCTCAACCCTCGTAATTTAATATAAATATATCTAACGTCAAACAGATAAGCACAATAAAAGTAATGCTAATCTTATCAAATTTAATTCAATTTCAATTAATAGTTACAATTCAAACTTAAAAAGAATTTACAGCTAATATTTTACTTTTGTCTTCCAAGTTCGGTGACAATAATAAAAATACAAAAAAAAATTAAAAGAAAAATTGACCAACTTTTTTATTAAATTTTCATAAATCTAAGCACAAAAGTTCAATAAATAAATAAATTTAAAAAAATTTATGAACATCGGGGACCTCGTTTTTTACACTGACAAACATAAACAAGTCAAACACCAGACAGTTTACTATACACGAAAAATTTAAAAATAAAAATAAAACGTTTCTCTAATAACAATAAATTAATTAATAAATGAAAAAGTCAAGAAAAAGAATTGTAATCACAATTTTACTTAATATACTCATACGTACAGCAGTGTATGTAGATTTTCGTGCATTTATAAAAAGACCTTACTGATAGTATTGATATGAACAGTACAAGTACAACTAATGTAATCGAATTAATTTATTTACATTTTTTACAGATTTTTATGCTATCCTCACATCTCATCAACGCGCCGAAGCCGAAGCCGCCGCCACCAATAAAAATACAAAGCCTAGCAATGGATAATGTAATTGCAGTTGAAGTAATTAAGTATGCAGAGTCAGTCTACGACAGGAACAGTAACAAATGCACAGAATAAAAAAAACTGACAGAATATTTCAAACGAGTACCGCATAGATAATTCGAGCAGAAAAACCAGAGAACACTTAGTTGGAAAGATATATTGTTTAAAACAAAAAAAAAAACAAAAAAGAAACTGCATAAAAAATATATGCACGCATATCCAATAAAATACCGCAAACTACAACGATTTAATATCGAATATACATAAATATATGCATAAAAATCATACGAAAAGTAGCAACATAACAGTTACAAATTCATTGTACTCAGAATGGACTCACGCATCGGCCTGGATTATATTGTCGAAAATCGTGAATATATTTCAAAATTAGGCGCTGCCTTAGATACAAATAATGCAGTCGTAAAGAAGCAAGTTTTCGAACTGCTATCAGCTTTATGCGCTTATAATGCAGATGGATATGCACGCGCAATCGAAACACTTGAATTTTATAAGGTAAGTGCTATCAAAATCCAATAGTACATGAAAAACTTACGTGAAAACCCTATAAAACCTATAAACCTAACACATTTAAATTACAATAAACACGAACTAAATATCATTAAATATCCTTTAATTTGACACCGAATAAATTTAGTTACTTAAATAGGTGGTTCAAAATTAAGTGTTTGATAATTTAATGCTTATTTTTTAAGAAAATCTATGTTACCTTAAATTTTTATAAAATTATTTATTATTTTACTTAACTTAATACTTCATTATATTGCAAATATTTTTGGCTAAAGAATGTTCCACAATCAGTCTCTGAAAAGAGCTACATACTAATTCCCAGCTAGATGGGTATTTAAGAGTCCGAATACACTATACGACACTATTTAAATATTAAGTAATTTCGGTTCAGAACTTTATTAAATACTACGAGTACGTATAACAAAATTTAGTAGCAAATCCTAATCCGATTTGCTACGAATAAATTTTTTCAGTAGTACTCATACGGCCTAACAAATTTGAGGCCGCTCACTTCAAAAACTGACTACAGAAAATCGATGCCTAGCAGATAAAATAATCTTTTTAATATACATCTATATACAAAGAGTCTGGTATTAATCTAATAGATTTTTAAGAATTTTTGAAATTTTAGATATTTTGGCAAAGTAAAATCGATAGTAGTACATATTTGTAAATGCAGAGCCGAGTAAGAAATACCACAATCAATCAAAGGACTCTAAATCATTTTCTTCTAAAATTTTGGGAAACACTAGATTGGAACTATCAAGCCAGAAAATTATTTTTTTTTTGATGTTATAGTAAATTCTTGATAAATATTAACATCTTTTTAATTTTACATCAGAACTAAAATCTGTAGAATTTTTTTATTTTGATTTTTCTGATCAGTCTTTAATTTTTTTGTTGACTTTTTTGGACCAAATTCTATTGCATAAGTTCTTCTTACTACTTCTTAATACTCACGATTCTGTCAATATATACTATTATAATCGATTCTTTAATCAAGTGAATGTGTTAGTATTCTTTCAAGATCCTCTTAAATTTTAAGCGTTTTGCTTTAAAATTTCTTTGAAACAAATTTAAAGAGAGATATAGTATATGGACTTGAGGAAGCAGTTTATTTTCAAATAATGAAAGTAGGATATTTAATTTATTTACTAAAATTTATATTATATAAAATTTCTGAACTTGAGTAGTGAAAAGCAATCATTTAATGTAAATATTATTAATTTTATATTTTAAATTTGATATTCTTTTAAGAATTAATACATATGTATAGCTTAGATTAGCGTTTCAAATTGCTAAACCATTACGCTATACGGTCTGTTCGAGTATATTTAAATCGAACACTTGCAACATTTGAAAATATTTGATTTATTCAACGATATTCGACATCCTCGATAAGTAACTCGACATCTATACTGTCTCAACTTTGGCAATATTTTTATATTCAAATGCAAATACGTATTATTTTTGAAGATTGGATGCGAAAAATTTGTATGTTTAGTGAAAAATTGAAAGTATATGCAAAAATCTTGCCAAAGTCTAGTTAGAGCTGACGCTAAAAAAATTTGCTCGACTCTACATTGACAAGATTTTTATGTTCGAATATAATAGGTTAGGTTAGTTAGGTACGGTTACTGGGGCCGTCCAAAGACGCACTTAGACCATGGGGTACATTGTGATACCCTTAAGAATTTGACACCTGTCTCTATAACCGTTTTGTAATGGCTACAAAGCCATTGACACAAGCAAGGAAAATAGAATTTATTTCTCGTAATAAATTGACATAATACATATAATATAAATATACTACATATTACAACAATTTTGAATTTTATTGGCAAATATGAACTTTTGCATGGAAAAGCAAGAGTATATGGAAATCATATCAAAACCTAGCCTGTGTAGACGGTGCGTAAGTTGACACTGCATCTACACTGGCTAAACTTTGACCAGGATTTTTGCATACACTCGCTTTCGAACATAAATATTTTACCAAATGTCAACTAATGTAGATGCGATGTTATTTACGTTTTGTTTTAAACAAATACGTATAAAAGTGAATGTTCGAACATCAATGATATTCGAACATTTTCGTGTGATTCGTTGTGGTCGATCATTTGACTCGAACATGCTCACCGTCATGCTTGATACTTTAAAAAGCTTGAATAATATTTGTAACACTTATTTGTATACATATTTTTATATTGATTTTTTATCTTAGAATTTAATTTAAATTTTTTTATTTTTATTAATTATTTATTGTTTTCTTTTCTTTTTTACACCTACAGAATCTCAAAAATGAACGATATCGTTTCAAAATTGTCATTAACGAGTTAGAAAAAGCCACAAATGTTGAGTATCAAGCCGCGCTATTGGCTTTCATCAATTGTGTTATTATTTCAGTAACAAGTCTACAAGACCGCATTAGAATACGGAACGAATTCATAGGTGAGTTCAAAAACCTGACCAGCAAACAGTGACAAATCAGTTTAATTATTTCAAAGTGTTTTGTTTTTACATGATTTTCGTAGGTGCAAAAATTATACAAATATCGTAAATGATTTATTTGAACCAATTATGGTTATAAATTAAAACCAAAAAAAAATTATAAAATAATAAATTAAAATGCTAAGTGTAAATTAAAAATGAGAAAAGAAATTAGAAATCATGTTTTGCATTTTTCAAAATTTGATGTATTTATTATGTTCGCAACAGCCTTGACCACGATTGGAGCCACGCAGTCGTCTTATTATCACTCCGCATGCCATTGGTACTGGTGGAAGTTACATAGGTACCTCTGGGGCTCATTCATATCTTACATATAAAACAATAAGTATATTAAAAAAAAAAATTAGGGTTTAAATTAAGTCTTAGCACGTGTATACTTGATTATTTGAACCTTTACGCTTGACAAGTTGAATATTTCGTTGAATAACGAATAGACGAACGATCGTACTAAAAATGATCGATCAGAGCGTTAACATGCAAATTAGGCGCGTTTTGCATTGAATTTTGTTTATTTTGTTTGCATCGCAAACGGACGACGTGTAAAATATGCCCGCAGACCATAATTATTTTTATAGCTATTAACAAATAAATTTTATAGTATTAAAATTTAATTTAATAAAAAGTTTTTATATCCTAACCGAAAACGTTGACTTAAATTAATAAATAAGTTATATATAGTTTGTTTTACTACTGAAGTTTAAGCTTCCGGTCAACTCTCTTAATGTTTTATCATCGAACGAAAAAAATTATTTAAAATTTCTTTCTTTCTTGGCATATATTTTTTATGGCAATGTTCGCGTAGAAATCTTAAAAATTGCGAAAGTCAGGTTACTTAAAAAGGCTTGCTGACGTTAAGATTTTTATTACAATATAAGCCCTCCAAATATGGCCAAGCAATTATAATATATCTACAATATAAATGAATTTTTTTATTGTTTAAATTATTTTTTTTTTTTTCAATTTACAAACCAAAAAAAATTATTCAGAAATTACAAAGCATACGTCAAGTACCTCTTTAAAGTGATTAATACATAAATACGCAGGTGCTTTCAAAACTTAAAAAGACCTATAGACAAATATATTTTTGAGAAAATATAAACAGAAAAGAATGGAAGACTGTTGTTAAACAGGCTTAAGTCCTACATGGACTTTATAGTCACGGATGATAATGATAGACAAATATATTTTGAGAAAATATAAACTACTTATTTTTTAATTTTGCACTAGATTTACATTAGCTGAACCTTAGTAGTAGCCGGTTAGTAGCTTTTTACCGGAATTCTTAACCTTTCAACACGAAGTGACGTCTAGGAAACTTCATTTTTTGCATGCCCCTTTGAAGATATTTAAATTCTCAGCAAATTATTAGATTATTCAATGCCAATTTCAAAATAATATGCTTTGTAAACTTGCAAGTTGCAGTTTATTTGATCTAAATGAAATAGCAGATTCTTTTTAATTTGCGAGTCAAGGGATTACTATTGTAAACTCTGTTAAAGTTAAAGCAAACAATTGTGATGTTTAAGCATTCAAGTGTTTCAGAAGTTTTTTCTATTCGATTCCAAATAAGATTTAAACTGATCTTATTTTTCCAAGATTCTTTAATCAAACTTAAAAATTAATTTAGTGAAAATGAGAGTAAGTTTTATAAGTCTATCCAATGTAGTATATTAACAAATATATCTCCTTCTTGATTCCTTTTTGAAATTCGTTATTCAATAGAATCAATATGAAATCTGCAATAAATTTCAATGCAACAGCCCCATATGTCCGTGCTTAAATTAACTGAATGGCGTTGCAGAATTTCTGTACTATTTGTAGTGTACTTTTTTATCTAAAATTTTCTAAACCAACACTCGTCATAGCTTCTTATCCAGGTTGTAAAATTTTTTTCAATTTACCAAACTCCAATGGTATTCTTTTTTATTCTTTTTTACTCCATGATCTCTAAATTCTCAATGATGATTCTTCACAAAAATGAGTTATTTTCTTGACGTTTGTAGAGCAAATCAAAAACGTTTATCTGTCGTAGAAAATATTTTTCTAAAGAACGTTTAAAATTCATATGTGGATTTTGAAATTAAACCAATGCGTTTCACATGTCTATAAAGTGGCGAATGCGATAAATTTAATCTCTCAATGATCTGAGTTTCTATTTAACTATTTACTTCACTTAATACCATTAATTTTTCTTTATCTGCTTCAAATTACTTTCGAAAATGTAATATATACTATAGGTATATTCAGCATGAAAATTACCGAAATAAGATTTGGAAAACCAATTTCAGCACTGGTTTTCTGTCAATACACCTTCCTCACAAACATTGTTTTTTTTACTTAACAATATGTCTTCATTGAATCGCTTTTATTTAAAGCATAACAATAACTTTTATAATCTTAAAAACTAATAACATTATATTACAAATCATTTTATATATTTAATGTACAACAATGAATTATAAAATTAATTGTAAATTAATTTAAGGGGCCTCTAAATAAGTAGCCAGGGCTTATTTACCAGATATCAAGGCACATAAGTTAAATTAAACAGGATAATCTTTAGGAAAGCAGTATGTCAGGTCTATGATTTTATTTAATTCTAGAAAAATGTAATATATGTATTAGCAAGAGGTCTAACCAGCGGATTCACAAAATTTTCAAGATTTGAATCCGAGTTTTTGAACTCGTCTTTAACCATCGTAACTTTGAAATCGAAATGTATGTTTTCATTTCTGATATACAAGGGTACACCAGTTATCATTCTTAGAATCTGTGCAGGATTTCTACGTTCTACGAACAGATATTGTCGTATATCTGTAAGCCGTACATCCAGATTGGTTTATATAACTTGGTTGTATAATATTTTTATATACATTAAATAAATTTTTACTTGCTTCAACAGCGAATAACAACAAATAATTTATCTTATTTATTCTTTTATATAATTATTGACATGTATTTAAAATTACGTAGCTGGTAGACTGATCAATATTTGTGTATTTGACGTATTGAAGATTTAAATAAATATTTATTTTCATTTCGTTTATAAAATAATAATTCCCGTTTTACATACAATTTTTTTTCATTTCAATTATTTTCTGGCAGTGAAAATTTTATACATAATTTTCATAAATAATGTTTCTCAGTACTACCTTTCCAGATTTAGGTTCTATACATAAGAAAGAATACATAAATCATGCAATAAATAATGCCTCTACAAACAGAACAGTATTAAAATTTAACAATTAAAAATAAAAATATATTGAATTTATTCAATTATTCTACAGCAAGTAAATTTGTTAATAAAACTTTCATAGTGAAGTAGCAAAACTCCAGAAAAATGTGCGAACATAAAAGTCAAGTAAGTTGATTAAGGAGCGCTGACTCTGAACTTCAAATTTGGCAGGGCACGAGTTTGATTCCTAGTAATTGCAGTCTCAAAAAAAAAATTTACGAATAATTATATACAATAATTATTTTGAAGACCACTGATGATGGGTATTTGGCAATACTCGAAACAGCTGTATAGTCTGCCAAAAATTCAATCAATTAAAATAATATAAAAAACAAAAATTTTTTGTTGTTGTAGTTCACTACTTTTGAAAAGTTCTATGTAAATAATTCTTAAAAACATTCTTCTAGAATATCCGAAATGTAAATAGTGTATTAAACATCCCCCGTACTTTTGCATATAGTTAGTATCAAAAAATGTTTAGACTTACACCCTCAGGTGTTAATATTGTTTATAAACACGTTTCAATAAATTGTAATCATTTTTACCCAACCTTTAAAAACACTCATTCATCAATACTTGTAATTGGTTAATTATACGTTTAGTCGAGCAAAAAAATTAATACAATACGAAAAAACAATATATTTGCAATATAGATAATTAATAAAAAAAACCATGGAACTAAGTAATCGATTGCGCTTATAAATTAAATAAAAAATTTTTTATAAAACTGTCACACCAATTGATATATTAACCAAGCGATTTAAGATACTTTATGCCAGAAATGTTAATGAATGATTTAAACATTTAAACATATTAATAAGGAATTAAAGTATTAATAAAAGTTATTGAATTATTGAATTAAAAAGATTTAATTCATAATTAATTCAAATTACTATTTCATTAAATAAAAAAAAATTTATTTATTATTTCTTTTGTTAATTGGATTGTTGGTTACTTAAAGCTACTATAACTGAATAAAATGCAATTGCATGTTGTGAAAGATATTAAGAACTCAAATCAGATACTGGTAAATAGCTGAAACTTTATTTCATCTCAGATTTGAAACACGAAATGCTACTTTAACTGATACTTTTAGCCGTTAAAAGTATTTAAACATATATACATATATATAAATTGGTTAAAACCATAAATAGTCAACTCGTTTATACATTGAAACTGCAAGTAAAAATATTACTATTTTTTTAATAATTTTGTTGATATTTAAAAAGCAATTTTTTTCATTACCTAATTGCTTGTCTAAAAGTCATGGCATGTAAATAACAACACATTTCGCAAATATGCCAAAGTCTCATAGTTTAATAATATTCATATTTAAATATTTAATTGGACAAGCGTTAATATATTATTTTTTACTAATAACTAATTTATAAGCAAAATATGGAAATGCAGAAAACAAAACATATCAATCAAAATTGTACAAATATTTGTATATGTAATTCTCAATTCCTAGAAAATTGAAATTGCATAATTCCCTGGTATATAGACTTAAAGTATTTACCATACGTTTTTGAAATTCTTGTCACGTATAGTTTATATTTGTACCGATCTTTCTTAATGCTAATCGCCTTGAAATTCAATATGTATTTTCAATGCTAAACTATGTGCACACATGAATAAGTGATTTTATGTACACACAACATAAAAGACATATGTCTATATACAAAATAATATATAAAATATAAAGCCGCTCTAACGTAATTATTTCGAAATCACACTAAGATACAAATATACAAATTCTATGGGTATTGGGCTTGAAAGCATATTGAAACAATAAAGCTGATTTGTTTACTTAAGAACTTTCAACTGCAACTCAACTTTACAAATAAAAATTACTATTAATGTTACTATTAATTTAATTGTATAATGTAATGCCATATATTAAGTAATGTGTAAAATGTATAATGAACCTGACTTACATATGAACAAAACGCATAGTATTGGTCGATATATATTTAAGCCCATAAAATCTCTTACAGCACTTTTTTCTTTATTTTTTGTCTTAAACGTTGACAAAGCGCAACTCAATTTATTTCAATTAAAAACAATGAAAATTTAGTGCTGCGTCCATGTCGCCTTGTCCACACACAGTACAGCCCCAACTTAATCCGGGACGCGCTCAATCAAAGTCAACTAACAGTCTACAGAGGTCATGAACCTACAGCTTTTTTTTTTTGTATGATTTTGTACACTTCGATTTGTTGCGACTTTGTTAAAAAATAACGAAAATTAATCTAAAACTTTGGTATTTTTGGGTACTCATCATTCCACTTACAGTCATTTTATTTGATGCGATAATGCGGGTGCGGGTGCTGATGAACGAAACGTGATCATTGTTTTAATTTTATTAACATGCATGTATTAAACACAAAAGACAAGAATACATAATAGTCTTAAATTTATATATTAAGTGTATTTAATATTCCATTGAAACTTCATTTATCTATATTATCTCAATGATCTTAAGCTAATTTCTTAACAGAATTTTAAAACACCCACCCAAACGAGAAAAGTTGATCACTTTGGATGGAGAAGCGTTCAAAAATTAAAAATAGTTAATTTTTATTATTGATAATTACTTTCTCATTATTTTTTATTATATTTTTAAAAGCATACATTTAAATAATGTGACACTAATTGCTTCATTATTTAAACTATAATCTTATTGAACAATCTGCCAAACAAATAAAAAGTATTTTACATAGAAAGTACATTCTTAATTAAAAAAATAATATTTTATACAAAGTTATGTTTATAAAAAAAAAACATTCATTATTCTTACACATAGAATAGAGCAGAAACAGGTTCATTTCACTGATTTGGTTTCTTGACATGATCGTTGCAACTTAGCAGCAACGTTCTTTCTCTTGTAGTTTTGAGCCTTATAGTCCTCTGCATATTCTATTGCATTGCGAATACTTCTATACAACTACTGTTTACTTTCCCAAAGGGGCCTCTCTATAGATATCGTTCCAAGTATATCGTGTTTCAGCTAGATCACTTACAACCGTTCTTTTCCACATTTTCGCACCAAGTCTTCTACTACCTTGTGAATTCCATGTCAAAGCTTGCTTCGGTATATAAAATCTCGGTAGTCTAAGTGTATCAACTGTCCAATTCCTCTTCTTCGTCTTTATCTTAGTTTGTGCAGCTTTTTGATTTGTTTGATTCGATATTTTGAGAATCCTACATAGACACTTGTTGACAAACATTGCAAATACAATATTATAATTATTGTTTTCTCAGAATGTATGCTCAAATCATTGCCACTTTCTAAATTTTATTTCTATTTAAATGGGCTTACTGCTTCTTGATAATAAGAGATCTACATTTATTATCGTTTTTAAAAATAACACATATTCTATGCAAAGTTGCGCATTTTACACTAAAACAATGTAGAATATAAGAATTCATTGACCTTTACCCATTTTGCCCTTGTACCGCAGCTGCACTTAAATTGCCAGAGTTGCTAATCGATACCTCTTCAGGTTAATTCTAACCACGCACTTTGTCATCCTACAGAATTATGAAGTCACCAAGCCAAAATATTTTCGAAATCTGAGTATATTACAACAAATAAGTATTAGTCTGCACTACAATAGTCACGAGACGAAATTGATAGTATACCTGGTAAGATCACTATATCTAATGAGAAGACAACTAAGCTTATCAACCAGGTTGTTGTCTTCTAAAAAGAAAGTTTAATTCTGCAAATAAAAGAAAAAATCTATTATAGCTTTTTACATTTATTTAAATTTTTATATTGACTGTATATAACAAAATTCATTGCATTAATAACTTTATATTTACAGGTCTTAAAGTTTTGCCATTATTGAATAATTTAAGGTAAGTCTACCGATATTTCTAAATTATATCCAAACTATTTTTAAGAAACTATCACAATTAGACCATAGCAATTGAACAAAAAATACATCTTACACACATTTTCATTAAATTAAAAAACTTCAATTAAAGAAAATGGTTATGTCGAAATTCATATAGTTCTCGAAATTGGTTTTAGTCTACTAATCTTTACAACACACTTTAAAACCAAAGAACACATACTGACAAATACATCAAAAACTATAACATAACATTGTAGTAATCAGAGAAGTTAGATGTATCCAATAAGTATTCTTTTCATATTGTACAAAGGTAGATTGTAAACCGCGAAAATTATAAAATTGTCGTCAAGTCAGAAGATACAGAATCTATACTTCGTAATTACTGAACACCAATGTTCAGTAATTATGAAGTTTTAGGCACAATTGAGTTTGCAAAAATGGTGAACCAAGTAGTCTATAATACTTAAAGAAATACTACGATTGCAGAAGTAATAGTTTTTGTTCTACCATACGCTTTTCGGTAGCAAATTTATTATAACACTAAAGTTTCTTTATACTGAAACTAAAGCGATTTCAGCTTACCGATGAATTAATAACTGCCCCAACCAATAGACAAAAATCAGAATATAATTTTAAATAACACATTTATACGAGATGCTATATTATTAATATATCGGGAAAAATGCTAAAACATCCATCCTCTCCTACATGAATAGTAAACTAAAAGAAAATCTTTTTATTTCGAAAATCAACATAGACAACCTTACCTTTCAGATATACGGCAACAAATTCTCTTCGTGCAATCTTAAATCTCTTCAAAAAGTGAATGAGAAAACAAAAATTTTAAAAAAATCTAATAAAGTGAAGTTGGTTGGCACTTACCTGTACTCAAATTAGTCGATCCAATGGAAAACGTTCCCATCATTTTTGAGACCGTTTATGCTAATGAAATCTTTATAGTACATATACCATATGTATTCGCTTAATTTAGTCAGTTATGAAATTTCCCTGACCTAACATCACTAAATTTAAGTTGCACTGAAATTTAATAATATCACATTTTAGTTGGCTATTAAAACTTGTCTAGGTACCTGAATATGGAAGATTAAACAAAAAACTGAAAAGCTTCTAAATGTTCAAGTTCTTTCAGAAGATCTCGAATACAAGGTTTTTGACTATATCAGTACTAAGAAAAATCAAATATTAATTATTTTAGAAGTTATAAGGTCGATTCCAAGACCTTTAGCAATCCAAATAATTTATTCAGGTTAACATCATAAATAGATTTAAACTAAGAGAATAACCACTCCCTTCTTAATCAAACTATATCTTGTTAAGTCCAACAACTTTCTAGACCTTCTTTCTATTATAATGTAAGTAAACGATACTAACTACAGATTACTATTACAATAATTTCCCACCTTGCAATACTCACTCCAATTGCAGATCAAAATTCTTATGCTCCCTCACTTCCTATTAGACTAGTTATTTATGGTAACTAGTTATTTTATTTCTATATTATACAAATATGACACACTGATCCGAATTTACTTTAGTAATGCCGACTTTAATATACTTAATGAAACCTTAATGACTATAGGTATGTATTTTTCATAATTTAATTATTTAAAATAATATTCGTTTAGATAAAACATACTTAAAGCCATTTTAGTCTTATGTTTCTTTTATTCCATTTTTGTTATTATATTTGCTAAAAAGCATTTGTTAGTTTAATGAACTGTTAAAATTTGGTGTCATATAAATTAGTTTTTATGCTTTCGCATATTATATTAAATGTATTAAATGTATTATGGAAATTGTGTTTAAAATAATTATTGCGATTGTAGAGCCCAAGAGTATTTTTCGCTGTCAATCTCGTATCCCAATCTTTACACGGATACGTACCTAAAAAATAAATGAATTAGTTTCTGTAGAGAAAATATAAGGAACATATGTAAAGAGTAAAAAAAGAAAAAGAAAAATATACTTCAATATAAATTCTGAAATCTTAATTTTTCTTGATTCACGCTTTTCTTATTGCTTATATCTTCTAAAATTATGCGATTTAATTGGCAACATCCTTTCTAGTGACGCATTTTACTATTTTTGAGAAAAGGATTATGTTGCATATTTATAGTTTATAAAACGTACACTGGCTTGACACTAACGCCCTGCTTTGACATAGTGTCTATATGAAGTTGATATTGCAAGGTTTGTATGCCCAGACGTAAGACTTCACGCAACTTGCGCCCAATTTCAAGAACAGCACTTTCATTGTGACCATTTGCAGTCCAGACGGAAATCTTATTGCTCTTACTACGAATATTGACTACGGCACCATTTATCTCATCCGCAAACTCAAATGTTTCACCAATCAACGATAAAACTAAATCTAACCACATTAAGTCCAATTGCGGACTAGAATTTTTGTTGAACGTGATAACCCATCGCCCGCCGTCTTTATTGGCTTCATCCTCCCACATTGGACGAATTCCTTTCTTAAATAGTGAATAATCGCTGCCAATTTTTATTTCTGAAGGTGGCTTAATGTGATTATAAAGTGACCAAAAATCCTCCACAGTGTCAAAACTAACAATCTCATTCTGCATCTCATCCCAAGACTTGTTACGATCATTTTCTAAATACCACAAAGTCCAGACATGTTGCAGAGGATGCTTATGTAGCTCACCGTGACGTATGGTATCTGCTTGCTTCATGTCCTTTGGGTTAGTCATTGGGCTGAGATTAGTGTTGGATGTTTGCTCAATAACTTCATTTGAAATGAAGGGTTTTTCTTGTACTTCTCCATCAAACATATTGCGATGTTTTACTTTAAAATATATATTAAAAGAAAAATATTATTAGTCTACCACCAAAATAGTTAAACCAACCAGAAATTAAAATCTTGAGTGTAGGTATATATGAGAATTTAATAATGATTATTTAATTAAATTCTTATATTTTTACATGTTTTTGAATAATTATTAACATTTATGACAGAATACATATACATACAGTGAATGGCAGCCGCTACAGTTCTAATTTGTCAAAGACTTTCTTAAAATCTGTAGAAAAAAATTAAAACTTTTTAAATTCTTTTTAAGAAATTATAAAATCAAGTGTATTTAAATGTCACAACTATTGTTAGTCTTACTTTCTAATAAGGGCTCAAAGCAATTAGTCGTTATCACAAAGATGAGCGTAGCTAAATTTCCGATTTTTCTTAAGAATCAATAATTTTATTAACTTTAAAAAAGTGTCAAAAATTAATTCAATTTTAATAAATTTATATATTTCAAAGCACTATATTTAGGATTTCCAAAATAAACCAAACCTTTTATCACAATTATTGGATTCATCAATTTAAATACTGTTAGCTACTGACGGTTTTTAGTTTTTAATTACTTATAGTAAACCATATATTCGTATAAGCAATAAGCAAAAAAATTAATGAAATTAATTCATTCATATAATTTTTAATAAATATATATACATATTTACCGTTTTTAGTATCACACAACTTTGAAATCACTTGTCCTTAACTTTTACGGTCAACTTTTGTCTCGAAAAACCTACTCCTGAAGCAAGAAGTTTTTGACAACCGCACTAGCTCAAAGTCAAAACGAAATGATAAAACCTAAATAGTAGTTTATATTGACAATTTACAATTTAGAAATGAGTACTAGATCAGAAATTTTAAAAAAAATACAGTATATAAATACAGAGTTGTATTTTAAACTATCAAATATGTGAAAGTTTTATATATGAATGTTTAAAAAATATTATTGTTTTTTGTACTGCTGTTTGTACTCGCAATAAAAGAGTTTCGCAACAACAAAACTCACGAAGGTAGCAACATCTAAAAGAACAATTGCTAAGAGCTCTCACAGTGCGCTTTCACAAATGTACATCCTTTACTAAGTCTGTTCCACGAGCTACTCATAGCAAAACTCAAGTAAAACACAAGTAATGTACAAATTGAGAGCGTAACATAAATAAAGTGCCAAATTTCGTTCTTTACACAGATTCTCATGGAACAGCTTTGTGTAAAGTCTGGTAAGTGCCGCGCAAATAAACAATACAAAAATTTGAATTTCACACAAGTTTTATTAAAAATAAAATGTACAAGTAAAGTCTGTCTAGCATTTTTAAATTTCGACAGGGATGTTACGCTCTCTCAGATGCTCTCATTTAATCAAAAATTTGCTGGTGGAACGCACTTGTGTCTACACAGTGTTGTTACTAATTACTACAATTAGCTCGTGGAACAGACCTACAATATTAAATACCTCAATATATATTTTGAGTACGACACTACAAGTTCGTGGATACATGGAATAAAAAGCTATATACGATTGTGATTCAATGTTGAAGGAAATTTAATTTATGTAGAAATGTAAAGAAACCTCTTTGTAAAATTGATTCTTGCATACAAAATTTCAAGCGCGAATGCGATCCATTTCATCACATTCTGTATGAATGCGTCCCAACGACTTTCGAATTCGTTCCAAATATGTACCACAATACATTGAACATACTCTAAATAAAAGCTCTTCATGGCATTTTGACAGTTTGAGAAAGCTGTTTTTGACATATTTACAAAAAAAGGTTTGGTGATTGTATTTTCTTGAAAACGATGCACCTCTTTTTAGAACTTCTACTTCTCAAAAAGTATTTAATCGAAGTTAAAAACATGTTTTCAATATATATTTTAAGATTTGAAGAAATATTTAACCTTCATGCAACTTTTTTTTGGCACAGATCAAAAATCAAATCAACAGGCAAGTTGAAAAATCAGCTGTTTGAAATGAGAACAAATGAAATATAACGAGTGCAAACACTTTCAAATGGCTCAATTAAAATGAGCCATTTTCGGCCAGTGTAAACGCCATATAACACAACTAGAATTCCCTTATTGTGCTTTTATTTTAATATGGTAATTATTAACATATTTGGATCAAACTTTATTCTTTTTCAGAAACTTCAGGAACTGGGTATTGGAGAGACTTTTACATATTATTTATTTTTGTGATATTATCATGAAATCGAGCCAACAAGGCATCTTGCTTTATTATTTGACAAAATTTGAATGATAATTCAAAGATATATATTACAATTAAATAGAGTTATAATAATAATTCACAATAGTACAAGTTTGTATTGCACAATACTGTATTACGGTAAAATCTTCTTGTTTTGCTATCGAAATCAAGAATAATTTGAAATGTCAGTTAAAATTACAATGTCGTGTGAGTCCAGTATAAGACAACCGGAGTTAGCACAATGGCTACAATCCATAATAATCTTCACTTAATATTTTTATAAGAAATTCTTTTTATTTCAATTTTTTAGAATTTTATTAAACCTATAACAATTTTTAAATATGCCACAAGCATTTAAAAATATGAATTATGAATAAGTTATTGAAGATAATTCAAAGAATAATTTTTTAATATAATAAATTTTAGTGGCAAATTCACCCATTTGAGAACTTTGTGGTACATAAAGTGACATGCGCAATTGCATTTGCATTTAAGAAAACAGCTGATTATTAGTTTAATGGCAATACATACAGTAAACAGAATATAAAAAACTTTTGTTTTTGAGTAATAAGACTTTATTTTCATCCTTTTTTGTTAGCATAATTTTTTTTATACTGACGAACAGCTGATACTTACACTGATTTAGGACAACATATATATAGAAAAACGTATAACCATCTGTATAACCATTCCAATTAATTATTCTTTTCAATATTACGTATTTGTTAAATAATTTTATATCTATACATAATACTACGTAATTAAATAATAAACTTTGCCAAGCCTTTGTTATTTTTCGAAAAAATATAAATAAAAAACTGTCATATTTTTTAAAGATTTAATGCTTACGATGACTGACTGACATACAAACTTAAATATTTCTTTAATGGACTGTCAAATTGTACGTCCAAAGAAAAAAACTAAAAATAATGAAAATTATTTAAATAAAGAACCCAATAAACAAATATGTAAACTTCAATAACTATAGAATATTTTTTTTGATAATAATTAAATAAATATAAATCAATTAACACGTCTTTTTCAAACGAAGCGCCTATTAAAATTGGCAAGAGACTTCCCCCTAAGAATTCCAAAATTTGATTATTATTAATGATTTATTTTGCGAAACTTCTCAAAGTAATTATTTAACGCCGAGTTTTAAGCTACGATCTAAGCATAAATTAAAGCATATGTATATAAAAAGCAGAAGATTTGATACTTAAAGTTTAATTAATTATTCAGTCAAATGTTAATTAAATGTTCCAAAACATTTAATTTTTTCGATTCGCTTTAATTAAAAGTCAACAGCAGAAAAGACTAAACACGAGTCGACATCCGTCAGATAATATATCGCAACATTAATTTATGGATCTTGCATTGTAATTTTTTAATTTGTTTGGAATTGTATTTTATTTTATTTTTTTTTTTTGTTTTTTAACACAATTTCATTCAAATCATTTGTATTTGTTTTTAAATTTTATGTAGTGCTTTATTTTAGATTTATTTATATTTTCTAATATAAGAAACATTTTTTGATACAATTATATCGTTTAGATTTTAATCAATGATCGTATGCACTATATTTTTAAAAACAAAAACATAAATAACCACAACTATTAAATATATTAAATGCAAATTTGTTTTAATTCTACTATTAGTATATCTGAAATGAGTAATCTGATACTTCAACATAGTACTGGTTAGTTGCTTGTAGTGGTAAGTCATTAGATAACTTCCATGCGATAACTTTTTCCATGCGACCCCTTTTTCCATGAACAGTTTGATAGACTCTGTCAAAAAAGTATCTTCCTAAAAACCTATTTCCTCTGGACGCCAAAGCCAGGCATTCACAGAGAAAATGTGTTATTTCTTTTTCAGCCATGTTTCCACAACTTCTGCAATATTGTACAATTTATTAACAAAATATCAATTATCTGTTTAGTAAGAGCTATACCTTATATTATATTTTCGGGTGCAATCTACATATATTACTCTCAGAAATTTTACTTACAGTCATCAACGCGTTAGCCAATCACAATAATGAAAAAATCATATAGGAAAGAAAGCAAAGTTTATATTTATTAATTTAATATAGGGTTTAAGGTTGATCTAATTTTGATGTAAGGAATCAGCTGATCCGATTTTTAATATACTATATATGTTAAACATGAAATCATGAAGTGACCATTTTACTTTTATGGTGTAGAATGTTTTCTAAATATCAGTTAAGTTTAATTTAAGAATATATGATGAAAATAAACATATATTATTTTATAAAGCATTTTTCAGTTGGGCATATATATTCATAGACTCTCAATACACTCCCAATATACTTATAACAAATATAGAGCCATTCATAAAAAGCACGCACTGATTTTATCAATTTTATTCATATATTGTTATAAATATTATAAAAAAAATTTGATTTCAAAAGGAAATAAAATCAGCTGTTCAAGTCAATTCGACGAGAGCAAAATATAAAGAACATACGATTTGGCGAGTTACAATATAGCATGTTAAACGTTAAAACAGTTAAACATATTTAACACATATAGCATTTTGAAGTAAGATAAGGAAGTCCGTTAATGTATTCTATTACTCGTGCCGAATAGGGGAAAATGTGTGTACCAATTGAATTTTGGTTTCTTAACATAATCAAAAAAGAAATATTATATCAGCAAACACAAACATTGAGCAATTGCATCACATTTCTTTGTGTGTGAAGTATTTGGTAATCGGATTGAACTTGTGTTGTTTGTAAAATTTAATCACTTTATCTGCAAACTTCTTTTTAAATTTTTTCACGTTTACTACGTCTACTACAAATAATTCAGCTTTTAGGGTTTACACAAAAGAACCCCATTTTAGGCAGTCACATAGGTTAGGTGAGTTTATACCAGTGATCCATAAGAATTTAATTACGCCTAATGGCGTATTATATATGTTAAATAAGGGAAAAGTCAATGGTTTAAAAACTACGTTGAGTTTTTGACTACGATACTATTTAATGGGAGGTTGGGAGGTTAATGGGAGTTGACCAAGATCTTCAAAAACGGAGGCCCCCAGAATAGTAAAGCGGAGCCGCATATGTACTGCGTAAAAACAAATGAGAGTTCCGTACAGTACGAAGATTTGTTGGGGGTCTTCCAAGACAGTCACATAACTAATGGGGTTTGGCTATAAATACACAAATGTAAAAGCAAAATAACATTTTTTCTTGAATGAATTAACCGATTACACATTAAATCTTTGAAGTATTTACATATATAGAAATTTGCTTTTATAAGTATTCAATTTTGAACCTGCAAATTTCTTCAGTAGTAAATATATGCTTTAAGCTCGTATTTTTTCATATATAATTTGATTTTTATCGACTCTCATGCAAAATTTCATTCTATGTTAAGGGATAGAAGCAAAAACATCGTTTAAATGTATGCATGATTTTATTTTGTAGTATTTTTATTGGTTTTTTTTCTGCTAGGGCGTGTGCACAAGCAAACAACGTCGCACAAGTTGTACAAACAAAACTGATATGTAATACCCGCTTTAAGTAAGCTCTTAGTTAAAAAGACTTATATTCAATATATGCCGATATAGGGTATCAAACAAAATTTTACCCGAACAACACAATGCCTCCTAGTGATATAGTATTCTACGTGACATTCAATAAAAACTTATTTTAAATTAATGGAATATTATAGGGATATTCACTCTGTCTAGCAAACTCATTGCAAAGTGCACGAAACACACAGATTGCACGAGCTTGCAATGGACAACAACAAAATACATGCCAAAAGTTTCTTGCAAATTGCTTGCAATTTTGCTATAACTAAACGCATGTATATATGCTTGCAACGAAACAGAAAAGGAAAACATACCACTATTTTGACATCTTCTCTTCTTCTTTCTCATGTGGATGTTGTGTGTTGCAAAAACAGCTGTTTTATTTCGATTTTGCAATTCTACAACAGTAGTGTTCTCGCACTCTTGCAATTTCAGTATAGCATTCTACTTTGCAATGACTTTGCAAAGTAAAGTGAATACAACTAATGTATTTCACAATTTAAACGATTTATGGGCAATAAAAGAAATGCACAATGTAGGGTAGTAGAAATTGGTTGAAAGAAGTATTAGCTGTTTCCGACTGTCATTACACATATCTACGTGTGTCAATACAAATTTAATGACAAAAACAAAAACCACACACATCCTTTGAGGAGCTTTTCAAATTCAGAGCAACTTTTGATTGCAATTAGAGGAACTTTAAAAAGCGTACTTCCTGTTGCAAGTACGCGTGTTTGTGTGCAATTGTAAACAATTGCGCGCGCACCACGTGGAGTTTAGAAACAAAAACAAAAACAAAACAGTAAATAAAATTCCTGTAAACAACAACAACTGTTGGCATTGGGTCAAAACCGTGCTCTCGGCTGCTGGCAACTTCGGAATCGCGTAGTTTGCTATGAACGCCCAAAAGTAAAACATCAAAAATATTTAATATCGCTAAATGGAAATGAGCACTAATTAAAAAAAAAGTACTTGTATCAAATAAATAAAACAACAACAACTAGCAACTGCTTTTATATAACAATTTTTCAAGTTCACAAAAACAAAAGTGCAAAAAAACAATGCTCAATGATAATAATTAATGCAGGATTTAAATGCGATTTCGGTACCGGATCAAGTTAAAGTAGCAAAGCAAATCGTTTCTGACGCCAGTGGCTGTGAAAATATTTACAGAATTTATGGAATTTGTGGTTAACATAAAAAATTCCTTTTGAGTTTCAAATTTGTTGCCTTTTGCCGTTCGGAATGCCAAAATCTATTGCCAAGGACTCGTAATTTTCTGGCTGGTGCCGTTGTGTCAATAAAAGTTACAAGACGTCTCGCCTTTGTCGCGCTCTCTGCTGTGCTTCCTTGTACCCTTACAATTTTGACAGTTTTCGTTTGGTGCAGAATTTAAAGTAAGTGGGCACCAGTAATTGTTTGGTTATAAAAATTTTTCATTCTTCCGCTTTTTCGACATTGGCCGAGGTTAGTTTGGTTCAAGTCCATGACGAAAAAACTGAAAAAGAAACGGAATATGATTAGGTATCATATTATAAAAACTTTTTTAATTACTTTTTAATTGAATTGATTTGAATTATTTTTTCACGTCTATGGATTTTGCTATGAAGGTCTCCGTAGTGCCCATTGCATGCTGGTAGATGCATTTGTGTATATTGATTTTTATATCTTCACTGTTAGCAAAAAAAAAAGAAATGTAAAAAAGTAATCGAAATTGTATAAATTTAATTACAGTTTAATTTCATTGAATATTACTTACTCCTTATCTGTAAATAATACTTAAACCAGAATATTAAATACATTTTTAAATAACTGATTAATATAATTTAAATGTATTTAAATTACAGATAAAATATATTATAAATGTAAATTAAATATTAGCTATAATTAAACACCTTTTATAAAATCAGCAACTATTTTTCATTATAGTTAACCCGTACAAGTTATGCTGATTTATACATTACAATATTATAATATATGTCACTTGTATCTATTACACTGTATAATATACGTACACAATACAACTCTTCTACAAAGTTATTAATATATTAAAAACGTAAATATATATTAGCTTCTAATACTATGTTATTCAATTTACATATAATACATAAAATACGCATTATGTTGAGGCTAGTTGAGTCAGTACACTTGAGCACTTTTACTCTCTACTAACTGCAAGGTTTCTTCATAACCATCTCTACGCCTTGACTGTATTATTGTTCATCACTTCATCAGATTAATCTATAACTAAACTCAAATCTGCATACCTCCCCGAGGCGCCTGTGACCATTCTGAGATTCGATAACGCGTTGTTGGTAAACCTGTCAGTTTTCGTAAATAATTTTAGGGCTCTATACTTTATGTAATTTTTTGATCGAATAAATCTTGAGATCTCTGAGGATGCCATTCGTCCTAATTTACGATGGCACCTTCTCAGAGCCTGGCTTTGTGCAATTTCTAGCTGGTGAATAGTAGTGTTTGAGGCTTTACTGAACGCTACAGATCCATATAGAAGTGACATAATAATAATAAAATATGCAGATGTAGATAGCTGTAGATACAAATATTGTAATAGACATTTAGCCTGTTGCGTTCATGTGACATTATATAAAAAGAGAAACATACTTTGAAAACCAAGAAATTGACAGTCAGATTTTTATGCATATACATTTTGATTAAAAAATTGAAAATCAAAATAGAACATTGAAATTTAGAATCGAACATATTTTTTTTATTGTTAAAAACTATTGTAACAATCTACAAGTTCTTAATAAATATCAAAAACTCATATTAAGAGACAGCATTACCAGAAGCCTTACGATTAAAGCAGGCAATATATTATATATACGCAGAGCCGATGAGGATAATACATTAAACAAAATATTAAAAGCGCAACACTGGCGAAGAAAACGAGAAAGAACTTGAGCAAGATATATAGATAACAACAGACGGAAGTAGGTTGAGATGGTTAAGAGACAATTACATCTTAACCCTTGAAATACTAAAATAGTAGGAGACGGGTACTTAATCATATAAAATTAATATATGCTTTTGCTTTGACAAATTCACTACAAAACTATACTTAAAGAGTCGCAATCTCACTTAATACACTAAATTGAATTTGTTAATACAATCAGAACATGGGCTTAAAGATACTACGAACAGTGCCCACAGTGAACTAAATTGAAATCAATGACCTGAAAAAAAAACGATGAAAGATTCTATTTTAAGTGACTTCAATTTAAAATTATCATATCAAATCAGAAATGTTATAATAATGACCCTAAAGTTACAATGATTAAAATATTAAATGTAAAGTTTTTTATCCACTGAGATGTGTTTTTATATCCACTGACCAAAAGTGTTTGGGATCTACATTTTATCAGATAAATAGTTTACAGTTTATAATACGACTTGGCAAGTCCGACGTAGAAAATCTTCTTAGTCGACGTGGATGATTGATATTTGATAACAGCTCGTGTGCCAGTGAGTTCGGGTGGTTTGATAGTCTTGTATGGTAATTTTTGCTGACTGCTTGTATTGTTTCAAACTTTATATCATATAAACTGTGAGATTTTTATCAAACTACATAAAAACTATTTAAAACTTAATCAATATTAAATGTAAATAGTTTTAAAGAAATTTTAATGTTGATTTTTGTATATTAAATAATTAAATTTATTGTGTAGATAAATTGCATGTTCTTTAGATTTGTAAAATTTACATTTCGAGATAATAAATACATTTAATTAATTTGGTTTTCAAACTTATCCAGATATAAAGACACCTATAAAGAAGTTTCATCTAAAGTTGTAATACTAGTGTAGTGTTACACACTGATGATTTCTATTAAATGATTTCTTTAAAGAATCCTTTCTTTAAAGGAAGGTTATCTGCTGGCTTTCCACTGCACCTAATCAACCAACCAACCTTTAAAGACGTCGTCATAAAGAGTGGAGAATATAATCCCATTAATCCAACATTTATAATACCAATTATATTTTAATCGATTGTACATGATAATAGTTGATATTTCAAATTAAACATAGCTGTTTAGAACAAAATTTCAAATTTTTAAAAAAATTATATTTTTGGAACAATATCTTAAAGTTTTGTTTTTGTAAGTTTTGTTTTATGTTTTTGTAATAGTTTTAGCTTTAATTATGTTTAGTGGATGTGAGGTGGCCGAACTGAAAAGGTGAATATAATTGTTTATAAGCAGCACAACCCATTAGATAATAGAAAGGGTACACTAAACAATAATATATTGATACCAAAATTAAAAAAAAAAAATTTAATATACCATTTTATTATAGTTATAATGAAATATAACGTATATGTCTATAGCAACGTATATGTCAATAAAGTTATATTGCATCATATTTTTTTAAACCCTGACAATAATTAACATATAATTTATTCGATTTTTAAAATATATTAATTGTAAAATATGTTTTTAATAATCTTATTTAAAACTTGTAATAACAATTCTAATTACTTCATGGAACACATTTAACATCATTAGAAAAGTCATTTCCATACAAAAAAAGAACGCTATTACTAATTACTTCAAAAGTTAATTACTTCATAAATAAAAAACAAGATAAGAAATAGAAAAATTATTGTATTTATTGCAACTAATAAAATATTGTTAAATTACGAGTGCCTTGTGCATTATTTATATATTTATATTACTAAATTTGTTTTCTTGATTTTTTGTAGAAAAGTCGCTCAAAGTGTGGGGGATATTATTGTGCAATTGGACGTATTTGACGAACAAAGAGAATGCGACGAGGCACAAAGCCTACAGGGCCCAAATGGCATCAACCTAAGCTCGCATCTTGATGTTTTCTACGCCATTCTGCGACAGGTATGCAAATTTAATAAAACTTTAATTAATAATTTTATATATATAATGAATAAACATATATCTCAAAATATATATATAAATTTAATGAATTATTATTATATATACACAAAATATAAAAGTATATATTCATAAAATAGAATATTTTTATTATTATAATAAACTTCGAAGACTACAAAAAGCGATTATCTATGCAAGGTGTCATGAGTTGTTAGCGAATTTTGGACACATTTTCAATATTCTAAACAATTTTTTTCACTACGCTTTATAGCACTGTGATCAAAAAATAAGACCGAATTTGTTTGTAAGGTTAGGTTAGGTTATGTTGGCAGACCAAAAAGGCCACGCGTACACCATCAAGATCCATTGTGAGTCTTATATCTAGCGATAGTGTGCATTACTTAGGATGCGCGTGTTATTAGCGAATTGTATTGAAAGTTCAACAGCAACCTCAGGTATGTGCTACAGTTCTGTAAAACTGACAGTCCCCAAGTGTTTTTGTCGAGTTCTCGAGGGAGCCGAGCAGTTACACAGGACATGTTACAGTGTTTCCTTTGGATCGGGCTGGCTGCATTTCTTAATACCATACATGCTGCGAATTACTTTTAGTTTGTGCACATATGTTGCAACTAGACAGTGACCTGTCAATACACCAATTAATATTCTACATTCCTTCGGCTGAACGATAAAACATACTTATATATATACTTTTTCTCGTTTATATATCTACACATCATCCAACTTTTCTACAGGTGGTAAAATACCGGCACCTTTCTTTTGCTCTCCTTGTCATGTACTCGTCCAGGAGTTTATGTGTTTCAGAGATCTGAGTACTTCAGTTATTTGGTCCTCTTAAAATCTTGCGCCAGTTTTAGCAATAGCATCAACTGTCTCATTTCCGTCTATGCGTTTATGACCAGAAATCCAAATTCTTTATTAATTCCTCTAAATCTCTAGTCCTCTCCTCCCAATACAATACACTTATACCAGCGTTTTTTCTAGCCCTTAAAAAAATTATTAAAGACAACTTTCGTAATTGCTTTTCTATCGCGCAATGAATCGGTTTTAATCTTCTCAATCAAGTCGAAGTAGTGTCCACTTTGCGATTTCTTGTGTTTAAGGAATAGCCAGAAATCATGAGATACTACATTACCGTGGTGCAAAAACCAAAATTTTAATTTTTTGATGTGTTATTTATTAGTTAATGCTGAGTTAATGTTAATTTGTTTTAAAGAGTTTTTACTGTACACTGGCAGTATTCAAAATATTGTTCTATACAAGTATGAATAATAACACCTAATATATGTGTGCATGTACATATTATATAAGTATCAACGGCCTTTGGTATTGCTATAAAAATGTTTAATTTATCAAGGTCGACTGTAGCGCAACATGAAAACAAATCAAATACAAATATAAAATATTACGTTATGTAGCAAAATAGATTGCATGTTGTCGCATATAATTTATGAGGTTCCAAAACAAGCACACATAATTTTTTGAAACTCAGTGCAGTGACTAGTTCTCCTTGCAATTTTTAAGTAAAAACATTTCCTTATAAGTTTTTAATTTGATTTCAAATTTTTGATTGAAGGTGGCCGACACACCACAGGAAGTGCCGTTCTTAAGTATTTTACAGCATCTGCTGCGCATTGATCCCAAGGAGCCGGTCAGTGATGTTATTTGGGACACTGCAGAGAAATTGGTTCATCGTGCTACTTTACTTGAAAACCATGAAGACTCAGTACGTTTACTACGTACACCCAGTGTACAGAAATTTACATGTCCGCACTGCCGCAACGATGCAACAAGTCCAAGTCGCAAGGCATCAACATTACCGAACTCACCTAACAGCGTTTTGACAACATCGACATGTTCATCACAACATCTAAGCAGTCCACAAATGAATATACCCGTTCCGCCACCACAACCCTTAACCAACAACACTATAGTGCCACCACCACCACCACTACCATTGGCACCATCCGCGACTTCTGCACAATTAACTGCCGGTGTACCACCACCTCCCCCACCACCGTTATTAAACGGTAATGCACCACCGGCACCACCCCCTCCAACATCAAATTCGCTATTCAACACAACTTTACAAGCAGTACGACCAACAACACCCGAACCCGGCTATATTGATCAGACAACAGTTTTGCTACCGCAACAAGATACTCCTGCACCCAAAGCTAAAATGAAAACTATTAATTGGGGTAAAATTCCGCCTAGTAAAGTTATTGGAAAAGAAAATATTTGGACAATAGTTGCTACTAATCATCAAGATAGACCTATGACCGATATTGATTGGAACGAAATGGAAGGTCTCTTCTGCTTGCAATCAACAAGTGCACAAGGTTCACCTAAGTTGGGTCGTGATGGTAACGGTTGTGATACGCTGGATCGAAAATCGAAAAAAGAAAACACAGAAATAACATTGCTCGACGGAAAGAGAAGCCTTAATGTAAACATCTTTTTGAAACAGTTTAGAACGTAAGTAATATATGTTTTTAAGTTTACTTTGATTACTTATTATTTCCTTATATTAGTTCCAATGAAGATATTATACAACTAATACGTGATGGAGAACACGATGATATTGGTGCTGAAAAATTGCGCGGCTTATTAAAAATTTTACCAGAAGTTGACGAACTCGATATGTTGAAGTCTTTTAATGGAGATAAAAACCGACTGGGTAATGCTGAGAAATTTTTATTACAATTAGTGGAAGTACCAAAGTATGTAAACACATAATACAACATCAGAATTAAAGAAATGTGATTACTAAGTAAATAATCTTTTTAGTTACAAATTACGCATAGAAAGTATGTTGCTTAAAGAAGAATTTGCTGCCAACGTCAGTTATTTGGATCCATGTATTAATGCTATGATCTACGCTGGTGATGGTAAGTTCTATAAAATTCTCTTGGAATTATCCCTCAAATACATTTGGTTCTTTATTATAGATCTTATTAACAACAAAATGCTACAGGATCTGCTTTATATGGTTGTTGTAGCTGGAAATTTTCTCAACTCAGGTGGTTACGCTGGCAACGCTGTTGGTGTTAAACTTGCTTCATTGCAAAAATTGACTGATATAAGAGCTAACAAGCCTGGAATGAATCTCATACATTTTGTAGCCTTACAAGCTGAAAAGCGAAATCCAGAACTGTTAAAGTTTACAACACAACTGAATACATTAGAAAATGCCACCAAGTATTTTTTTCAAATAACTCAAAATTAAACCATTTTATTTATGCATCTCTCTTTTACTATATAGAACCACATCGGAGCAAATTAATAATGAAATCAATGCTTTAGACACGCGCATACGTAAAATCAAAAAACAAATTGAACAAACCGCAACTGATGAAGACATAAAGGCACAGATGCACGAGTTTCTACAGGTTTGTAAAACCCAACCATTAAATCTAATAGAAACCATTATTAATATCTTTAAATTACTGACAATTAAAATGCGCCGTCCTTCTTTATAAAACAATACGATAACCAGTATGATACGCCAATTATCAGAGTGCAAAACAAGCTGCATATATCTTTCAACTTACAATGTACAATGCCTTACCACCTCCTGATATGCTTCGCAACTACTATATAGTCATATTGTCTAAGATGCCAATTTTAATTACTTTATATGGATGGGATAACGAAAGACTCTAATGATACTTAATTATTTATTCTATTATTGTAAAAATACAATATATGGAGTCTGATTTTTGATCGTAATCGGACTTAAATATCTAGATCAGTGAATTTAGTGGAGTGCATAAAACATATATATATATTTATATGTATACGAATAGCATACTGATAAAACTGAAGCAATTTAATTCTCTATTTTATTATTGTGATATATATTGACTCTCTCTATATATATAATTTTTATCGTTAGCAGAACTTCATCAATAGATTTTAAGGAGCGCAAACGTAATATAGTATAAAGACTTAAACTAGCTACAGTCGTACTTAATAACTTAATATGTGCCTACGAAACTGTATGTAAAAGATACCAAAATATAAATAAAAATGTGAATTATTTACAAACTGTAAATAAAGTCCATCTATCAGATTATCTCATTTATATGACCTTTATGTAAAATTTTAGCTAATACTAGATATAAGAGAATTCTCAACAAGAGCATCATAAGTCCCAGTTAACTGGATAATATAATATAGGTAATTCTATATTAACATAATTAGTTGCGAGTATTGTTTGAAAATCGATTTTGTTGGTTTTTAATTATATATGTATACAGTGGCATATATTTCCTGTAGGTATATATATCAGAAAAAAATTTATGTAGCTTAAAAAAAGACACAATAGAAAATACATCAACATAGTTTTGCGAAAAAGATGGAAATTACCTTCATAGTTTTTATTATCTAATATTTTTAAATTTAAATAGTTTCTATAGTTTATCATTATACATTTTCAAAGGGTGCTGAACGAGAAGTCGAAGTACTACAAAATGGTATGAAGGAAGTGGAACGAATGCGTATTAAACTAGCCAATTTTTTCTGTGAAGATCCTTCCACATTCAGACTTGAGGAATGTTTCAGAATATTCCAGTCATTCTGTGAAAAATTCAAACAAGCAGTAAAGGATAACGAAAGGCGACAACAATTGGAAGAGCAAGCAATATTAAGGAGAAAACAACGAGAAGAACAGCTCGCTAGAAGAAATAGACAATGTAATTATTATATTTTCCTTACTGTTGACATAATAATTAACATTAAAACATTTTTTTTTATCATTCGTAATAGTCAACCAGTGTGGTACCCCCGTTTCTGATTCAGAGAATCAATTATTTTTAGATCCAGCATTTGATCCAAGAGCTAGTCCAGCACTATCACGACGTCGTATGGGCTCTTTTAATAGTGGAGCAGATAATAGTTTCTTACGTAATGAAACAAATGAAGGTATGTCTCCAGACATAACGCCTAACGGCAGTTTGCGCAGACGTCGCAGTCGTGTTTTAGCTGAAGAAGATGACCTAATGGAATTCTTAAGATCATCGTCTGGTCATGAACATAGTAGTAGAGAACGTAAAGCTTATGGTAGCTTAGGTGAGTAATATTTAATTTATACATTTAGTATAGATTTTTTTATATATATGCGTCTACACCATAAATTAAAATTAAAAATATCTGATATTATTATTACAATATTTAGGTGAATATGGTTTAAGCCAGAAACTAAATAAGATTCAAAGATTTCAAAACTCTTAACTTGACGTCATGTAAGATTTTATTTTTATATTTTTTTAAGTTTTTGGTGTAGAGTTTTAGATTTCACATAGGAATTAGTTTTTGTGTGTCTCAAGAATTGTTTTATCCACAAATTTTAATATTTGATGTACTTTTATTTTTTAATTTATAGATCGCTCTTGGGCTCGGCGAGCACGTTCCGGCAGTTCCAGTCGTAAACGCCCTGAATTATTAAATATTGATTTCGGAGCAGACAGAGAACGTGCTAACTCACCGGCACCAAATTTGATGCAAGATAAACCATCCCCTTCAACGAATTCAGCGGGTGGCTTAACACCGACATCTGGTAATCAAAGTAACAATGAGGATGCTAAACCAAGGTATATATATCTCTAATATATGTTAGCACAGAAATTAAATTTTATATATAATTAAAAATTTAATAGGATATCGCGGGAATGGCGACAAAAAATAGAGACGTGGTTACAATCTAACGAAAACGATGAAAAACAAAACGAGGAATATAAACGCAAAAGACGTTTGGTTAACAGTAATCGCCGCTCGCTTGAAAACGATACAGGTATATAACTGAACCATAATATTAAAAAAGATATACCATATAATACATATTGTTAATTTTAGAAAGCGAACGAAAACTGGATACACTACCAGAAGAGAAAATTGTGTCGACCTCTAATGCTAACAATACTAATCACAACAACAATAATAACACAGTAGATAATTATAAGCGCGTATATCCCGACTGGAAGCCATCGAAGGCTCTAGAACACACTGATGTTGTTGGCACAATAGAAGCTATAGCTGGTAAATATCGAAACTAATGAAAGATAAAGGAATTTTCAATAATGTTTACAATTCTATCTATGTTTCAGAAGCGAATATTGCACGAGAAAAACCGCATACGAATTTGCAACGGCAACATGGAAATCAAGCAAACTCAAACAAAATAGCAGATAACAATAAGACTCATATAAATAGCAACCATCAAACAACTGCGGAAGAATTGCGTCAGTATCGAAGACAACGTTCTTCGGAAAGCACTGACAAAACAACAACACAATTGCATTCGATTGCCGAGGAAGATCGCCGTAGATCTTATATTCAAAAACTAGGTGAAGAAAAAATAGATGATCATTTACACATTTACATACGTAGATCATCAATTAAAGAAGATTTGTTACCAACAAAAGATGTACTTAAGTCTCCGACTTCAACAATTGCTTCAACATTACTTACCAAAACAGCTAGTAATACCAAAGTCAACAATGATAACTTAAAATCTCCAAATTGTATAGCACCCAATAGTAACTCCAATCGTGAAAAGGCAACACCAAAAACTGATGACACATTTACTAATTTACTGAGCCATCATAACAGTCACAATGAGCAATACAGTCGCAAAGAAATTGACGCCGATAACATTGAAACTCCTCCAGTTACTAGGCGTGTAATAACTACTCCAAACTCTACAATAGTTATGATCAATCAAAATAATACACGAACAGACAAACTGGAAGAAAAATCAGAGCAAGACTTACCTGGTCATTTTGATCGCTACTCACTTGCAAGACGTACAAGACGTTATAAAAGGCCAACAGATTATAGCAGTGGAAATGAGGAGCTAAAGGAAATATCTACAGAAAGAAATAACAATAGTATAAGACAGTCAGTAAGTGCTACCGAAATCAAAAATTTGCATAACAAAACTGAGGAGAACATAACAAACACTTCAAAAAGAAAGAGTTTGGAAAAGGATAACATAACACGAAGTGCACTTCCTGAAAAAACTATACACAAACTAGAAAAAGTTGGACGCCATATAAGTTCAATAAATCAAGAAGATGTACAGGAAGCAATACGAAATCTTAAATCACCGACTGGCACACCTGAACGGATTTGGAGTCCACCTCGTGATATACTCAGCCATCAGCATACAATACCAGTTATCAATACAACACCAGCAACTACTATCATTAAAGTGACAAATTCAGAATTGCTTAATGATGAAGGTTTCGAGGAAACACAAAGTCTAGTCTCTGATACGCCATCACATGGCAAGGAAAGCACAAATTCATCATGTAACGAGGGAAACGATACATTACCACAACAAACAAGCAAATCTATCACCTCGTTAAAACCATCCATCACAAAATCCTCTAGTAGTCGCTTAGCCGATCGATTACAAATTACGAAAATTCGTTCGCCTTCACATCAAAAGTCACAAAGTACAACAAAACGTATGCCAACTATAACACCACTAGAACGCATACGTCCAGGAGGCAACTCTACAACAGCTGCGCATATAAGCAACTATACAAATAATGCAATAAGACGTGCAAATCCTCGTAAAACTGATTCGCTTTCCATACAAAGTGCACATGCGTCTCCAAGTCATGGAAGTGCGGCAGTCAAACGCGATGTGGAACGAAGTAGTTCACGCAATAGTTTACGTTCTTCACGATCTTCCATTAATAGTAGTGCATCCACTAATACTGTACGTCGTATGCCAATAGTTGTAAATAAATCACCACTGCATACAGTTTCAGTGGACTCATCACCAAGCAAACGTCCGCTAACTACTCCCAACACTGCATATACTCGCACAAACAATATGACATATCGTACGACAACAGGTGTGCCTGCAAGTCGTAGCAGTTCCAGTGGTTCAAGTATCGGTCAAAATATAATTGTTGTCCGTAAGCCTGTGAACAGTAGTCGCAGCAATGGTGTTGGTACTTTAGGTAGCACAAGCTTTAAAGAGAATCAAATTAATGTAAGCTCCTCGCGGGCTAATGCTGCACGCAGTGCAATGTTAGTAAAAGCGGCTATGCCAAATACGGCTGTAACAGGTGCTACAGTACAACGAAGCACGTCAAGAAGTAATTCAAGTACCCGTGGAGTTAGTGGTTTTATGCGTCCAACGGCTTCGAGTGCAACAAAACGTAATAAATAAGTTGACTATTGCACACCAGAAAATGTTGTTCTCTTAGTAGTATATATCATTTTATTAGTAATGTTATCCATAACGTATAAAGTCTTCGCGTTTTCACGTTTTCTGGACATAAAATATATATTAACGAAAGCAAAAATATAAGTGCGTCCCTTGAATGTTACAAAATTACTATTGTTAATAAAATCAAATGTTAAATCAAAATACCCAAAACCGTCCATGATACATTAAATTTTTGGCACTTGTTAAAATTATATGCAAATCGAAAAAGATTGAATGAATGATTTCAATGGTATTGTTTACTAATTAAATTCAACTAATAAAAGTCCCTTTCAAATTGTGATAATATCGTCAGAAAAGTTGCTATAGAACTTTGACAAAAATTACAAATATTCTATTTATTGGATTTAATCTTTAAATTTCAATCAATTTTGTATAAAAATACTACTTTACATTTTTTTTAAAAAATACAATAATAAAATTGTTTATTAACACAATAAACAATTTTCTTTGATAAATAATGTTAAATCTTCATATTTTTCTATTGGTTTATATATATACTTCATGTCCTCATGATAGCCTAATCAATATTTTATGTAATATATTTTATTACATACAAGTTTTCGTGAATTACTTTCAATAATTAAATATAATATTCTGACATCTTTAGGGACTTTTATTAATTCATATCTTTCTTTATTTAATTATATATATTTTTTAACAAAAAATTTAAACTCAAAAGTTGAACAGCAAATAAAAATGCTAAAAAATAATGTATACCAAAACAAAAGCAAATATTTTTTTAAATGTATATAAATAACATAGAATAAGACTCAGTATAAGCACGAATATTATAAAATATTTTCTATAGCCTTTACTTAAAAATATAAAAAATATATGAAAATTAATTTTTAAAACATATACCATTGTATATTATAAAATTAAAAAATAAAATGTACTTGGTGCATTTTAAATAAAGTCACAAAACTGTAGTAAGAACTCTGTAGTTAAATTAAAATTAAAAAAAAATTTATTTATTCTAATGTTTAAAACTAACATTTTTGAACTTATATACAATAAAATCCAGATTTCGTAATATTATATAAAATTAAACAAAACGAATACTTTTTCATAATAAATACATTTATTATATAACTTTTAATATTTTAAATAATAAATACATTTATTTTATAACTTTTAATGTCTTAAGAATAAATCGAAATATTAAATATTATTTACAAAACTTTAGTTAAATGCCATATTAACAATTTTTATTACTACTGAAACTAATTATATAAATAATTTAATATTTAGTACTAAAGTAACAATTAAATTTCATGTATCGATATTGAAATTGTGAAATTAAATATTTTAACTTAACAATAATTTAAATTTAATTAATTTTAGTTTTTTTTACACATACATTAAATCAAAAATAAATACAATTTAATAAATATTATAAAAACTTTAATATTGTGTACTTAAATATATATAAATTTATATATGTATATTAATAAAGTAGACTTTCCTATAATACAACGGGTACTTACAGTACGTTTATGCTATCGCAATTAACTCGACAAATGCAAAGTAATAAATGGCATTTTCATACAAAATTCATACGAAAATGTACCAATGAGGTGTGGTAATTTTAAGTGTAAACACTTAAATCCGTTAGTATTACATTATCGGACAAATGTATACAACTTCAAATATATTTTAAAATAAAATTTTTTCATTTTGGTCGCCTTTAGCAAGGTTTTATTTAATAACAGAGCAATCATTATACTGCGAAATCGTAGAGAATTGGACAAAAAATCGAAACTATTTCTATGATCAAAGCTTACCATAGTACAGAAGAGTTTTATTGTATATTGTGTATAAAATATTTTGCATACGAATGCGCCATATACAGTAGTCTATCGTTCATATATAAAATACATATAAATACAACTCAGATGTCAATTCAGATGTACTACGAACCGAAAAAATGTTTAATATGTTTTGCAAAGGTCGGTACCAATATCTTTTTAATAAACAATATCTTTGTATATGTTGTATATTTTTATTTAGTTAAGTGCATCGAATTAAAATGATTAATTTAATATATTTAAAAACATTGTAATTTTTATTTTTAATTCAAATAACTTGAAAATATTCTAACAAAAATATATATAATATTTTATGGACCGATAGTGCTAATGTTGCGGACCGGCACTGATCCGCGGACTAACACTACTCTATATATAATATAAAATGCTAGAAACGAGCCGCTACACTACTGTGATTTAATAATTTTTACTAGATCTATTATATTTTTTGCTTCAACAATTGAATGCATTTTTTTTAGATTATATTTGAATATAGTTATATTAATTATTTATAAACTTTAACAATTAATTTATGTATATATCTTACTTAACTCATTTGGTCAATATTTCATGCTATATATAATTTATTCGATTTGTTTTTAATCTAATTTTTTCTTTACTAATTTTTTTCCTTTAATACGATTAAGATTAAACGTGTTTACTTCTTTTCAAAAAAACTAGTGAACCAAATGTTTATATTTGTCGGTTATAGTTCACTATATAAAATATACTATTCGATAATAAAATATCCGTATTTGAGTAGTTTAATAGTATGCATTTGTTTTTGGTAAAGATCCAAAGATCAAAGTATAAATCAAAAAATAAAATATTATTAAGTTGTCATATTGAATTACAAATATATGCAAAAATTCTGACAACTTTTATTAGATATTTTGTAATATATTCAAAATATATTCTAATCTATATTCTTTAAATTCAAATATTGAAGTTTAATATTAATAAGATATATATTATTCTTTGCCAATCCAAATTTCTTTTTATAATAAAAACAGCTTATCAACTCTTCTTCCAGCAATAATTTATTGCAGGTTATATGAAGCTATTGTGGTAGATCAATACCTTAAAGCCTCAATACTTATAGAGTAAGTTAACTATGTTGTAGATTTATTTATTCTTGTCTATATATAAATAATGGATTTCATTTGCATGGATTGCAAGACAAATTTTAACTCAATTTTAATATAACACAACTTTTATTTGTATATTTTCTATAGAAAATATATCTTTTAAAATATTTATTATGTTTTTTTTCATATATTATTTTTTTACTGGTACTTTTTCATTGCCTTTTTGTATTAGAGTGTTCTTTAAAATCATATATTTCTACATTTTTATATGTACAATACATAATCAACATCTACTTCAAGTACTAAAAACAAATAGTTTTAAGTTACTATAGTTACTTCACAGATTTCTTTGTCATGCTCAGCTTTAACATTTGTTTCTTCTTTAAGTGCTTCACTATTTAAACTTTCATCCAATTGATAGACAATATCATCGTCAACTTCTAATACTTCTGGTTTAACATCATTCAAATTTTTCTTTTCAATTTCATCTACGTCCATTCTATTCTCATCTGTTGGAGCAGTACTTCTTTCTCTTTTTTCTTTTGGGCTACCATAATCCTCATGAGTTTCCACTTCAAATTCCAATTCATGTTCAATTAGTTCTATATCATCGTCATGTATAACATCATTATACTCCACATCTTTTCTAATATGATAGATGTGCTTTTTATAACCATTTTCATGTTGATCTTGTTCCTCTGTGATTTCAAGTATAGACTCAATATCTTCGCCTTTCTCACCATTTTTGTATTGCTCTTCTGATTGTGGACTACTTGTTTGTTGTTTAATTTCTATAAATTTACTTTCGTTAGGTGTTCTATTTGAATTTGATTCGGGCATGTAATTATCCTCTGCAAACCATTCTTTTCGTGATTCTAAATAACTGAAAAAATTTAAATAAAATTGATTGTAACTGACTATATCATTTGGTAATAAAAGGCTTTGTATAACACATCAATGTAGTGATATTCTAGTCTAAAACCATTTCTAATTAAGAAGTAAGTATTATATTGTATCAGAAACATATTGGTTGCGTCGTTGTAGTTTTAAAAACAAATTTATTGTTAATTGTATGAATAAAATGGGTTATTTTAAAGTAGGTAAGATTAATTCTAAAACTATCACATTTAGTGAATTAGGCACAAACGACTTATTTGACTATAGTCGTCATCCATTTTAATCATTTACTAAATATGTATCTTAAATATTTTATCTAAAGATCTGTTTTTTTCAATATTAATGACAAAATGTGTAACAAGAGAACAGGCCATGATTTCTATTAAGAAAGAATCATGCAAATGAGTGAATATCGCTTGCCAATTTGTCTTAATGTTGTTAATTAATTAAATTCTACAAGGCATCTTAGAGAAAAGAGAACATTAACAGTGTAATTTAATCAAACTTTTATTCCTACACCGATTTGTTCAATACTTGACATCTTTACTACTGTAAAGATGTGTGTTTATGTAGTAATACTGTAATATAATATAATTATTATTAGTATTATATAATAATAATGTATAGTAATACTTTAATAAGACTACACAAACACACAGATATATTATCACACATATATATTATCACATAGATTTATCCAAATTCAAAATATGATCGTTAAATCACCAAACACATTTTAAACATATGCCTAAAGACTAATCGATGTAAATGTATAGCGGCCTTTGACATTATCATACAAATTAATTAAAGTCTTTAAAAAATTAGTCTTTAAAAACATTTTATGAACTTGTCTCAACAACTTGATTCTTCCATGTCTTGTATAGCATCACCAATGCACTCATAGCGTAGTTAATTTTTATTATTTTGTTTCCACTTTGCTCTTTATTTAGTTTGTGTCATCGTCAGAGACAATTTGGGCAACTGGTGTTAGCACGCCGATATATGATCATGATTAAATCAAGGACTGACTATTATATCTGGCTTAGTCTTACTACAATAAATCAATTGTAGTAACAATTAAGTCGTAATGACTAATAATTTGTGGTAACAGTAATAAATTTTGGTCCTAAACCTATTAAATAAAAAGTGTTGAGAATTAACACATTTTCTCATATATTGGAAGTATAATACAATAAATCTCATAGACCAAAGTGTACTATTGTGTCGCTTATAATTTTGAAAAGAATTCCTCTATACTAAATGCGACTATACTTAATGTATAATATATGATAAGACGACATTAGCATAAGCAGTAATGACATCCAAAGTCATCTTTAAAATAATATTTCAATATAAATACGGTTTACAAGTATAAAAGATACTGTGAAAATATATTTGCAACTATATTTTCAAAATCACATTTAATCTTTTCTTTTTCTTCGGCACTGCAGTTCAGTATGAACCTTAGCCTTCCTATTTAATCTCTTTTATTAGGTATCATTTCTAATTCCAGTATGCAGAAGAACTATTGGCACAGTTTTATTCTCATTATACTATTGCATTTACTCTAGTTTTTTTTATCAAAATATAAACCCATTCATGAAGTACACCTACTTGATAAAAGTATCCAAGTTCGTCAATAAAAGCTTTAATTTCTCATCAGCAATTGTAGATGCATTTAAAAATTCCGGTAATTTAACTAAAAAAAAAGTTATGATTAGATAAATCTTTAGGGAAATTTAAGTCAAAATTACCCAGCAAACGACCTAAATGTGGTGCACCGAAAATCATACATGGCATAGGAACAGAGCTTTCTGGAATCATTCGCCATAATAGCACTTCTTGTAAAAATGTATTAATTTGTGTTGGTAAATTGGGTGTCATTGTTTCTAAACACTTAGAATAGTTAGCATCCGGATTAATACCATTCGTATGTAAAGGTGTCGAAGCACCTGAACTGTTGCTGGCTACGCTGGATAAACAATTTTCACCGTCTTCACTACGATGAGAACGTAATTTACGTTTTAGTGGCTCCTCAATAGAAGTGGGTGTAGTACCATCAGTAGCTGTTCCAGTCGTAGGTTCACTAGTTATTAATGACGATTGTGATTCAGTACCAATATCTGTAATCGGTGTTGGAATCTGGTCAATATCATTGTTATTGTTATTCGGTAGTAGACCATTAACCGGTATATATGTAAAATTTTTTAACAATTCCTCACTTAGTACAGACTCAATATATTCTCTTTCCTCATTGTAAAGTAAATAATCAACAAGGGTAAAATCAAAATATATACGTAAGCCATCGGCAATTTCCTTAAGCAGATTAACACTACAAAAGTAAAATATTAATTATATATAACTAATGTTTATTATTTGTTATTGAAAATGTAACTTACGATGACAATAGTTTGTCGTACTCTCGTTCTTTTTTGTCGTTCCGTAACATTGTGCGACGTCGCGTGTTCTCATTTTGTGTAGCCGAAAATATCATATTTACTGTGGTTTGTCGTACGAAATTATCTAATATCGTAATAATTGGAACTCGCGCAGGTAGCACATACTTTCTGCCACTAACTATCATGTCATGATCATATTCCAAATATTGACGCAAACGTTCACTAATGCGCAACAAAACACGCTTATCATCACAAGAACCCTCAAAGGAGCTTCCGCAACTATCTCCCTCTATCAAATAATAAAATAAAAATCTATGTTAGAAACTTCATAATATAAATAATTAGAAATAGATTATGTTATGTTTAATATTTAATTGTAATAAAGCATATATCAATAATATAGTTGTTTATAATATATTTTAATACTTACCCACATCTTTCATAATTCCCTCTTCATGCTTTTCATCCGTTATAATTTTTTCATCCGACGCTTCTGGTGTTGTAGTTTTTACTGTATTTGATTCTTCACCAGTTACTACAGATGATGCTGAAGAGTGCTCTGCTGAATTTCCACGCTCACGATTTATTATAATTTTTCGAGTTCTTTTTTTATTATTGCTGCTGCTGCTGCTGCGTTCTTTACGATACAGATATGCCCCCCTATTTTAACATATGTTATGTCATATATGAATATGAATATGAATAATAACATAAACAATACAAACACATTTATATAACTTACAGTTGCAAATGCGCCTTTTCAGCTAAATCCCTCTGCAGCTGTCGATTTTCTTCAGTGTCTTTAAGTACAAAATCTGCGTTAACTTTACGATCCCAAGAGCTACTCCAGCCTTGAAAATGTACTTTATATTGTATAATCTTACGTCCACGCTTATCTTTTGTTTCGTAAATGCCTAAAATCTAAAAATAACATAGGCAGGATATAGCAATAATGCTAAGTTTTAGAACAATGGCGATTGGTTAAACATTTCAAACAAAATGTTTAGTACTAAAACACAACCCAAAAACAAACAACCAATAAATCACCTTCGAATCATACAAAACTTTAGCTTTTGTTACATCTGGTTCGTAACAAAGTACAAGCTCTCCCTTTTCAAAGTATCGTGACCTTGGACCCCGAGTTGACACCATTATACCCCATTAGTATAACATAATTCACATAATGTGTATATTATTTAATTTATTTAATATTGTAGTTACAAACACGATATCAAAACAAAATAGATAATAAAAATCGTGATTCTTAATTCCAAGGTTGCAATAACTTGGCAATTATTTTTTTTTCTACCTTTAATAAAATAGCTGAATGGAAGTGAATTGAAATTATATTAATACATTAAAAATTAATAAACACATTTTTAGTTTTAATGAATGAAATTATAAGTTAATTACAGAGACGAACAATTATATTCCTAAACATTTTTATTATATATATTATTCTTCCAAATGCAACACTGACAGCAAAAATCAATACCGATAACACAAGTCAAAGTGCTGAAATAAATTTCTTTATAATATATGGATTTTAATAATTTTAATGAATTTCTATATGCAATATATGCCAGCTAATTTTTAATATATATATTTATATTTTTTTCCCCAAAACAATATTTATTCAATAAAAAATAAATAAAGAGTTGAATAAATTAAAAACCCTTAAATTGCAATAAGGGTGTTTTTAAAAATTGTAATAATAATCGAATAATATTTAAAGGACTTTATTTAACAATTTATATATTTTCATAATATATAGCGAAACGTACAAAATATATATATGTATTAATTACATCATACATATTATTAATTAATATACATTTACGGCTGATTAATTTTCAAAGAAAAATAGTTTGAAATGCACTGTTAACAAACAATGACTAATCTTTAGTTTTGCACATATTTTTCGAACTTATTAAATAAAACACAACACTTCAATTATAAATTAAAAAATTTATCAATAATTTTTATAAAATAATTTGATTAAAAATAAGTTTTTTTATAAAAAACTATATAAAATAAAATTTATCGATAATGATTGTCAAATTTTTTACAACTACAGTGCTTTTCAAATATATATAAAATCACCGGAAGTTTGGAATTTTGTTCTAGAATGTTCCACAACATTCTAGAAATTTTTGAATTTTGCTTATAAGCACAGACGCACATGCAACCGGCATTAGTTGAATTGTTCTATTCGTGCGGTGAGGACGAGCGTTTCTGCGTGCATAAAGAAATTTTTATTGTAAAATAAAATTTTAATTGCAGTATTTGAGATTTTTTAAATAGTAATTTATTGTGAAATTAAATATTACAAAGGTGTGTAAAAATTATTTAATGTGTTATAAATTTATAAGAAAAATAGCGAATTCTTGTAAGAAAAAAATGTCTGCTCGTAACAAAGCATGGCAACAAAATAATTGGGGTGAAAATTTGATTATTGATTTTAGGAACCAAATTTTAAATTAAATAACATATGCATGTTATTTTATAAAGTTTTAAAAAATATTTTATTGCAAATATTAATGAAAAAAAATGTGACGCCGCTACATTTTCATATTTTGTTGCAAAAATTTGCATTATGAGAAATTGCATATTGAACAAAGATATGTACGGCGTGGTGTAAAAAGAAAAAAAAATGCGTCACTTTTTTTTTGAACTTTTATTTAAATTAGTACAAAAAAAATTTAAATTTGGTTGAGATTACAAATGGCCATGCAAGTTAAGCAAGAATGTTCTAGATGCTTGTAAAGAAAAAAAAAATGTGCATGGCGTGGAGTTCATCATATATTTGAGTCATTCTTTTTTGAATTTATTTTAGCGAGTTAACAAAGTAACTAATAGTTGATATTAATTTTATATGGCAGTGCAATTTAAACAAAAATGTCTAGTAGCTTGCAAAAAAAATGTAATTGGGGGAAAAAAAATGTGACTTAGCTTCCAGAAGGCTCTGTCCGCCATGTTGTAACACATTTTTTTTTTTTCTTTGACTCACTAGGCTTTGGTTTTTTCTGTTTTTGTAATTAAGAATATTTTCTTTGTCAAATATCGTCTCGAATTTTTTGCACACACGTAAAAAGAAAAACGTGTTTAAATTATTAAAGCAAATATTTATTTGAAAACTGAAAAGGTGTACCAATAAATTTATTTAATCAATATAATAAATTATTAACCACCACTTAAAAATGAATATACTTAAATAAATATTTTTTTTATTTTTACAGATGCCAGAAGAATGTGAAACCTTTGCTTTCCAAGCTGAGATTGCTCAGCTTATGTCGTTGATCATCAACACATTTTACTCCAACAAGGAAATCTTTTTGCGTGAATTGATTTCTAATGCGTCTGATGCTCTCGACAAGATCCGTTATGAATCATTGACTGATCCAACCAAATTGGAATCAGGCAAGGAACTCTACATTAAATTGATTCCAAATAAGACTGCTGGTACTCTGACCATCATCGATACTGGTATTGGTATGACTAAGTCAGATTTAGTTAACAATTTGGGTACAATTGCCAAGTCAGGCACAAAGGCTTTCATGGAAGCTCTACAAGCTGGTGCTGATATATCTATGATTGGTCAATTTGGTGTAGGTTTTTACTCTGCCTATTTGGTTGCTGATAAAGTGACTGTAACATCAAAACACAATGATGATGAGCAATACATTTGGGAATCTTCTGCTGGTGGTTCATTCACTGTTCGTCATGACAACTCTGAACCATTGGGACGTGGTACTAAGATCGTACTCTATGTTAAAGAAGATCAAACTGAATATTTAGAGGAGAACAAAATTAAAGAAGTTGTTAACAAGCATTCTCAATTCATTGGTTATCCAATTAAATTGTTGGTTGAAAAGGAGCGTGATCAAGAAGTAAGCGACGATGAAGGCGAAGAAGATAAGAAAGAAGAAGAAAAGAAAGATATGGATACTGATGAACCAAAAATTGAAGACGTTGGTGAGGATGAAGATGAAGACAAGAAAGACAAAGAAGACAAGAAGAAGAAAACAGTCAAGGTTAAATATACCGAAGATTTGGAATTGAATAAAACTAAACCAATTTGGACACGCAATCCTGATGATATTTCTCAAGAAGAATATGGTGAATTCTACAAATCATTGACTAATGATTGGGAAGATCATTTGGCTGTTAAACACTTCTCTGTTGAAGGTCAATTGGAATTCCGTGCTTTGTTGTTTGTACCACGTCGTACACCATTCGATCTTTTCGAAAACCAAAGGAAACGCAATAACATCAAGTTGTACGTTCGTCGTGTATTCATTATGGACAACTGTGAAGATCTCATTCCTGAATATCTTAACTTCATTAAGGGTGTTGTCGATTCTGAGGATTTACCACTTAATATTTCACGTGAAATGTTGCAACAAAACAAAGTATTGAAAGTCATTCGCAAAAATTTGGTTAAAAAAACTATGGAATTGATTGAAGAATTGACTGAAGATAAAGAACAATACAAGAAGTTCTACGATCAATTCAGCAAGAACTTGAAATTGGGTGTACATGAAGATAGCAACAACCGTGCTAAATTGGCTGATTTCTTACGTTTCCACACCTCAGCTTCTGGTGATGAAATTTGCTCATTGTCTGACTACGTTTCACGTATGAAGGATATTCAACAACACATCTATTTCATCACTGGTGAATCTAAAGAACAAGTTACTAATTCTGCCTTTGTTGAACGCATCAAGGCCCGTGGCTTCGAAGTTGTTTACATGACTGAACCAATTGATGAATATGTTATTCAACACTTGAAGGAATACAAAGGTAAACAATTGGTATCTGTTACCAAGGAAGGTTTGACTTTGCCTGAAGATGATGCCGAAAAGAAGAAGCGTGAAGAAGACAAGGCTAAATTTGAAAACTTGTGCAAGGTTATGAAATCAATTTTGGATAACAAAGTTGAAAAGGTTGTCGTATCTAACCGTTTGGTCGATTCACCATGTTGTATTGTTACATCACAATTTGGTTGGTCCGCTAACATGGAACGTATTATGAAGGCACAAGCACTTCGTGATACCTCAACCATGGGCTATATGGCTGGTAAGAAGCACTTGGAAATCAATCCTGATCATGCTATTATTGAAACTTTACGCGAAAAGGCTGAAGCTGATAAGAACGACAAATCTGTTAAGGATTTGGTTATTCTCTTATTCGAGACCTCATTGTTGTCATCAGGTTTCTCTTTGGACAGTCCACAAGTACATGCTTCACGCATCTACCGTATGATCAAGCTCGGTCTTGGTATTGATGAGGAGGAGCCAATGGCTACTGAAGAAGTACCTGCTGCCAGCACTGTACCTCCACTAGTTGATGACACTGAAGATGCTTCTCACATGGAAGAAGTCGATTAAATTCGTTAATTTAACAACATACATTACCCATACAACTTTATTTTTTTTTACTTTTCATATATTTTTTTTAAGTTCACTTCAATACTTCAAAAAATCGGACATAAGAATAGTTTTTTTATTTATTTTTTTCAGAATGTCCATTACATTTTATTTCATAATTTTTCACCGCGTTTTAAGCGGTTATTCCTTACACCAAACAGATAAATCTAAATTTAAGAAGAATTCATTGTAAGAACAGTTAAGGTTTATTTAAGAATATTTGTTAAGGAGACTATGAAATATGTTAAAGGAAGAATTAAATATATATTACATTGTATAAGTTATACAGAAATAAAATAAAAAGCTAAAAAAATAAATAAATTGTTTATTTAATGATTAAAACAAAAAACGGAGATAGTTTTGAATGAGACATTGAAAGCATTTGCATTGAAAATTAAATGAATCTGTATATACCAACAAAGTTCCGTGGAGCTTAAAAGCGTTGCGTAGGAGCACAAGGATCCAATGTACGTAATGTTCTGTTAATGCAATACATCACAAAGTAACGAAGGTCAGTGGAATTAAAACCGTCACGGAGAAGTATAAAGCTGTGGATTAGTGCAGCATTTGTGAACGCTTTCAGAGAGACAGTATTTTTTTTTTATTTAAATAATAAATTGAATGAAGTGAATTATTTACTATCGTATATAAAATATACATATGTACATAACTATGTGACTGTCATGAAATAATAAGAGTTTTCATAAATTGAAAGAAGCAGACAGCTGCTGTTGATTTTAATGTATTATCATTGAGTGCTGATATTAATGACTAATCTGATATTAATAAAAGAATACAAGGCTCCCTTTTTGTATATCAAATAAATAATTAATATTTTTCAATTATAAATGCATATTTAAGAAGGTAATCATTTATAAAGAAAGTAGTAGTCAATTAGTGAGTATATTAAGCTCGTATAAATAGGTAACCATGGACAGAAAAGAGTAAATAGATAGTATTTAAGTATTAAGTATTTATACAATATACAAAGAATTGCTATAAATGCAATACAAATAATTTCGTAACGAAGGCTTAAAAAATGACACGCTCCATGATTTATAACTGTTAAATAATTATAGCTGATTGCTGAAATGTCTTCCAGTTTTTTATATAAAATATAAAGGATACTATATTGAAATTAAGTGTCTTTATTTTATGAGTCTGGTAAAGCCAGAGGTTAACTGGTCTTCCGAACTTCACATTTAGAAATCATGTAATATGACGTTATCGTCACTCGACTTTTTTCAGTTGTAAAGAACAATTTAATGACTTAAAAAAAACTAATCTGTACAAGCTTTACTAGAGTGATTTTTGCAATAACAGATATGTATAAATTTTTTGTATCAATAATGCAGAACTATTAAGTAACATTACATATGTACATTCCTAGCATAACAGATTTAAATGACCATAATGTATCATTGTGTCTTATATTATTTACAAAAATTTCAATAAAAAGCATGTTTTTAATTTTGAAATACAAAATATATAAAAACAAATATATTTTAATTAATTTCATAACACAATCATAAAATTAATATGTAAAAAATGTAATAATAAATAAAATAGATAAACTAAGTGACTATTGTCCACATTCTTTTCTGAGGAGTTCTAAGACATTATCCGGTGTTGTGACGCCCTTGCTAATCATAACAATTTTATTACGTGAACGTGATCCTTTATCCAGCGAAACGTCACTTTTGCGCAGACCTAACAATTTGGATAAAAATTTAACTAATTCTGCATTGGCTTCGCCTTCCGTTGGAGGTGCTGCTATTTGTACTCCCACACCTTCCGAACTTATATCAGTTATACCATTTTGTTTGGCACCTGGTTTAGCCAATATGCGTAAACAAACATTGCCGGCTTTATCTAGTTGCACTGGTTCCAAAGAAGCACTTGAACTGCTATTATCTGGCACAGGTGCTGCCTTTTTACCTTTGTTTTTTGACATAATATATACAGAAATATGAAAACATCGGCGCATATATTTTAATCGATTTTTAAAATATATAATAAATCCTATATAAAGCAATTATCTATAAATTTTGTCAACGAGCATGATTTATCTATAATGCTGCCATATGAAAAAAAAAATTTACATATGAAGTTTTTATACATAAGGCCTGTAAATATATAAATGATATTTTATTTAAAATAAATATTAGAAAATGGAACAAGTTTTATTTAAATTTTATTTTTTAAAATGTATTTTAATGTTTTTATATAAAGTAAAAAAACACAAAAACAAAATCAGCTGTTTGAACACTTTTGTTTACAACATTGCGGATAAATTAAAAATCAACAATTCGACGGTTGTTATTTTATCTCTTTATCGATTACCAAACTCTTACCATGTTCCCACTGCAATTAAATCAATTTATGTGAGCCAATTAAATTTTACCGTTTACATTGGCACATGTTGATTTATGTAAGTAAAACAACTTTTTTGTGTCAGAAAGTTCTGCAAAAGTTGTAGGAGAGTTTTTGTTTGCTTTCATTTTAATTGGAAAAAATTAATTTGAAAGGTTTTTACATATACTTTTTATTTTCAGTTACATATTTTTCTATTCAGAGACAAAATTTCAACATAATGCGTATATTCCATGATTATAATGTTGGCTTAAGTTTTTATACTAACGGTGATCAGACTTTGCTCAGTAACTCGATAAAAATAGTTAATTTTGTGTTCGCATGTTTTCTTTTACATAAAAGTATGAAAATGATAAGAAAAAAATAGATAGAAAATGTATGTAAAACTTATTCCATTACATTTCTTTCCATTTATTTCTTTCAAAATTTCATTAGTAATTATTTCATAAAACACTTTTAATTTCAAAACAATATTGTACAATAATAGAAATCAGGTGATATTTTACAGAACATGGAAAAAATTGTTATACCTGTTGCATTGGTAAAGTTTTAATTTCGCAAAAAACGAGTATTCATATATATAATTTAGCTAGTTACCGTCTGAACATCTCTACTGTGAAATATATCATTTTGTAAGCATCAAGAAACGAGACAAAGACCCAGGCCGCAATAACATTGCATCATTGTTTATAATAAAATTTTCTAAAAGTCTTATGTACAACAAAATAAATAATTAATTCATCTTATTAAACTTATATATAATTAACACGTGAATTACATCAGTTGAGTTATGTTTTGCATCTTAAAATATCGTTCGTGTTTTGAACATTAATTTTTGATACTTGGTAACTCTGACAAAAATACAAAACATACTTTATATGTTCAACAATTTTAGTTTTGATAAACATAAATAAAATGTTTAACGGCGAATGTATATTAATAAAAGACATAAAGCCTGGCTTAAAAAATATACATGTTATATTTATTGTATTAGAAATTGGGACGGCAACAATAACAAAAGAAAACCGAGAAGTTAGGAATTTCAAAGTTGGTGATCCTAGCGCCTGCATAAATGTCTCCATATGGGATGAACCCGGAAAACTTATACAGCCGGGTGATATTATTAAGTTGACTAAAGGTTATGCATCCATATGGCGTAATTGTTTGACATTATATTCTGGCAAGAATGGGGAGGTGTTTAAAATTGGTGAATTTGGCATGATTTTCAATGAACAATTAAATATGAGTGAACCAAAACGACCAGAGCAACCACCTGCAACCCAAGGAATTGCTATGGTGGGCACCAATCCACCTGGAGTACTACCTGCGACAACAGTTCAACCTATTTCAGCTACAACTGTACAGCAGGTGGTCGCTAGTACTAGTGGTGTTGTCAATATGCCAACACCGCAGATAGGAGTACAGAGCACAACGCAACCGCCCGTCAAAACTAATAGGGGCGGACGTGCAAACGCAACGAGATCCAGTAATCTTAAAGGAGAACGTAGATAAATATTTCCATTTTCATTATAATTATTATTGTGACAATTTCATTTTTAGAATAAATTAAACTTTATATCAAACAAAAAAATTTACTGTCTTTTGTATGAATTATTTGCCCAATGAGGTTCATTTTCCTTACATAATTCTCGAATACTTTGTGGTATTGTTGCACCAGTAGTTCCAATAACTTTAAGTGGTTGAACAACATATACAAACGCTTCTAAAAGTTCTTCATCGGGATGATTTTCTACGAATGTTGCTGAAATATCTTTTTGAAATACGGTGTCATTTATATATAAAACATCAATGCCAGCTCTAATAGCCTCTCTTAAACCTGGACTTAAACTAAAGATTGTGAAATCTCCCAAATTGTTTGTGTGTAGATTTGTTGTATATCCATCTAATAAATATTAAGTTAATGGTGTATCGTTTCTTTTTACTGGCATTAGACATACCTTTTATTAAAAAAACCACCACTTTGTCCTTAATTGGAAACATTGTAATTTCACATTCTTTATCACCAAGCTTAAACTTATTAGGCACATTTGCATCGAGAATACAAACAGGAATTGAAAGTTGCTGAAGTTAAAAATATATATACATATTATTAAAAACTAAAATTTGTTTATTATGATTACATTGAACTGCTTTTGTAACTCGTCATATATGTTTTTTGATGTATATAAACAACCGTGCCATTCTACAGGTTTACTTGTGTATTTTATCATATCGATGTCATTTAGCAATATTGGCGCATCTTTCTGTGTCTGAAAGAACATCCATTATTATTATTTTATACAATTTTTTCAAACTGCTTACCATATCATCATTGATATGTGCCGGTATATTTGCTTTTTCATTTTGTGATCTAATTAAAAATGATTGGCCGATACTATTTAATATCATATTTTATATTAAAAACAAGGTGCTTGTGTTAAATGTTTAAAAGTGCTAATTGATTGCACAGAAGCTCTAAACAACCGATTAAAATAGCCGGCATAAATATTTATTATGATATTTTATCTGTTTACTTCAATAACACTCAAACTTTAAAAAAAACATCATAGAGTAATAACGAAGTGAATGCACAATTACTTAAATTCTTACAATGTCACATTAGGGGTATTCACTCTCTTGCAAACAAATTGCAACGTGCACGAAATGCACAGATTGTATGAGCATGCAATTAACAACAACAAAATACACGCACAAAGTTTCGTGCAATTTATTGCAATCTTCCTATACTAAAACCTATATATATTTGCTTGCAACAAAACCAAAATAGCAGAAAACAGCTGTTTTGACATTTGTTGCTTCTCATTTTTAAATTTGAGTGATGATTTGAAATGATTTTCGAAACTAAATTTCGAATTAAATTTATTAATTTATTGCGATATTCGACATTTTAGATAACTTTAAAGAAACAATTTTATTCACACTATATGTCACCACCTCGAATTGTGGTACGGACAGAATACTATCTCTGTCTGGAAAGCAATGAGCTATGATGGGTGTTGTCTCTAACTAATCAGCACTTCTCCGAGTTAAATAGTGTTACCTAAATCCTTGACAAAAAGATTTTCTGGTTTTATTAAATTAACAGAATCTTCACTGTTTATTTAGGGACTTTCATTCGGTTTGAAAGACCTAGTGAAATGGCAATGGCTTTGTTGCGTTTGGCCGCCTATTTAGGGAGCAACCGGCATAGAATATACAGATTCAGAAAAAGCCTTGGCCTTTACTGACTTCCTGGAGCTTCAATTCCAGCCTAACAAAGACTGTGATTATGACACTGAAGAGAAAGAACATTTCACCGAAGATATTTACAATATCCTAAACCAAGAGCCTAATGAAGATGCCTTGCTTTTAAGATGAAATCCCCCTAATAATCTCAAGATTGAAAATAAGATCTGCACCAGGGTACGACAAGTTTAACAACAGATGCTTACGCAAACATAATTAATTGTATGTTTAGGCTAGGTGAATACCCTAACATCTAGAAACAGACCTCTGTTGTGGTCTTCCCTCAACCCGACAAGGACCCGAAGTTCCCGCGAAACTGGAGCCCCATAAGCGTGCTGTCAGCTTTGTGTAAGTTGGCTGAAAGAGTGATCCTAAACAGACTTAGACCTTCGGTGTCTCATTTGGGTGTCCCAGTCGGGGTGATTAAAATCCTCGGTACCTTCCTGCACGAAAGGTCTTTCCGTGTAAGAATCAACAGTACCATCTCATCAGCCCAAAGAATAAAAGTTGGTTTTCCTCAAGGATTGCCGCTCTCTTTATGTCTGACATCCCAAGGGTAAGTCCATCGGTGTTAGCATTATACACATATAATACATGCATATTATATTCCCATAAATATACCAGAAATATACCCTACACGTTGCATGTTAATCTCATCCTGAAATTCTTTCAGAAATGGAAAATAAAAATTAACAACGAGAAAACTAAAGCCCTGGTTATAACTCGTAAACACAGACAACATCCACCGAGAGTGAGAGTTGGTGACATTGCAATTAATTGGGATGACACCATCAAAAACCTGGGAATCACATTTGATAAGAAATTCATTTGGCACAAGTACATACAAATCAAAAGAAGTAATTGCGTAAAAACACTGCACTCCTTACAATCACTTTTCAAACACCATTTTTTATACTGAGATTGTATGAAGAACAGAAAGATTATCTACAGCCAGATAATTAGACCAGCACTACTCTATGGATGTGTCGCGTATAGCAAAGCTGCTAACTCTACTATCCACAAGCTGCAAGTTGCTCAAAGTCGGGCTTTTCAAAGACTCTTCAAAATGCCTTGATGCATCCGCACAAATGGTATGCTAAGAGACCTTTGAATACACCCGGTCAAAAAACACATAAGCGACAGAGCGTACCCTACTTAGCACTATCTAATTCAGAATAATTTCACGCCACACGGGGCGGTACGCAAATCTTAGATCAGTCAACGAGTAATCACGAAGCTTTTGAGGAATACATAAATTAGTCAATGAGAAGGGTGAGACTCTGTAGAAACCCCGCAGCTATCGAAGAGTAAAAGTGCCTAGATGCACTAACTCGGAAAAAACTCAACATGAACATGAACATAAATAAATATATATAATACAAAAGTATAAATAATACATTTGCTGATATCAGTCAGTGCAGACTATTTACTAATCAAATATATAAATTATACGATTTCTACAGCTTTGATTGAGATTTTTTATTTTATAAACTTATAAAATATTGCGCAATAGAAAATATTGACGTTGCTAAAAGTCAATATTAAAACAAGTTTTTTTTTTTATAAAAAAACAAAATTACTTTCCATAATTATTATTTTGTTTGTTGTTTTCTTTAATTATTTATTTAAGTTGATGTCGAACGAGACCTCAATTCTGTTTTGTGGGTGGCGGTCTTCTTAGCGCCTCACTAGGAAAATAAGGTGATTTAAGTGTTTACATGGGTTCAGCGTCTTAGTCGCTTCTTAATGTGTGTAGTTCTGCATATCTTTTAATAATTGTTGGGTTTGGACCTTTAACTTGCTTAATGTTGAATTGAGATGGTTTTATAAAATTTCATTGCTGTGTATTTTTTATATTTTTTAACTGTTACAATCTTCAGATCCCTGTGAAGAATCATATTTCTGTCGTCGTATAAACTGAGAAAACTTAAAACCTTTTTTGGAGTTTTTAATTAATCCTAAGATTGTTTTTACCGAGGAATCTTTTAGCTGAGATTGTCTAGAAAATAGTTCTAAAAAGCTGTTAGTCCATGGTCTATGAAATCCTTCCTGGTACTCCTCACAGATCCGGCAGTAGTCATTTAAAGAAAATCGTAGAAAAGTGTGAAATATTCTACAATATTTATTAGCGTTATTTCCAAATAGTTGCTCTTAAAAATATCTAATGTACTGATATCTCTATAGCTTCTTCGGTCCTGGCGTGCAGCCGGCTGGACACTTTTCTACTGCCTTTTTTGAAGTTTTGTGAAGGGTTTACTACTATATATCCATCTGTACAGCTCACTAATAGTTTCGTGTTTGTTATTTTAGAGCATCTTTTGCTGTAAATCGTCTAATTAATTTATTTTTTTTATTTGAATGCATATAAACAAAAGCTAAAAGATTTTAAGAATTTTTTTTTTGTGGGAAGCCTTCAGGACCGAGGAGGATAGAGCATCTCAATAAAAACGCTAGAATTTTTACCTCTGAAAGGGGTCAAAATTGCATAAAAATTTCTGCATATCGTTGATACTTTCCTATTTGTATTTAATTGTTTTATGCAGGAAAATTTTAACAATTATATTGGTGATGTTAGCAAAATTTCTTGATCTATTATATGATCAAAATATGTTTCTTCAGTACTAACTTATACACCTTGAAATTAACAGGGCTATCCTAGTGATCTAGAATATAGATAAAAGATATGTTAAACTTTATCGACTTCGGCTTCATTTACTTTGAATAAAGGTAACCATAAGTGTCACTACCATATCAGCTTACAAAAAAAGCCTAAAAAACTATTTAAAATAATTTTAAAATAAAATAAACTCCCCTATAACACGGTAGGTTCCGCATTATAGCAAAACGCGTCATAGGGGCATTCCCGTATACACACATGCAAAGGTACGCGAAGCTAAATATGAACTGTACAAATCTCCGCGTTATATGGGGAAATGAAATCGCGTAATATGAAAACTCGTTGTAAGGGTACCGTGTTATAAGAGGGACTACTGTAGATATGTTTTGTAATACTAATAATACAATATATAACTTCGAATTGTATCTAATCAGCAAATGTTATGAATCTTTAAGCTGATTACATAAAAAGAAATTGAAAGTAAATATTTACAAATGTTTTTGTTTTAAGTAAAAAAATGTTTTTTTTTAATATATTTATATAATTTATATATTACAAAAAAATAAAAGACAATATTGCAATATAATTTTACCACTTAAATTATGAACGGAAAATCATTTCTTGTTAATAAAGTTAAAAGAAATAACATTTTATTCCCTTAAAAAAATGCCGATTAAAATAGTTAAAAGGAATGCTTTTAAGGTAAAAAGATTTTAAATTTTGTACAAATAACATTATTTAAATTAAAATATTGTTGCTGTAATCAGTAGCGGTGGATCACTTCATTGAATTAATTCTGGTTCGAGAAAGAAATAAGCAATTATAAATTCAAAAAAAGTTTGTCAGAACTTGCGCAGTGGCTTCCAAATGATATTTAAGTATTTTGCATTAAATTTACATAATTTAAAAGAATATATTACATTATAATCAAATTTTATTGTTTTTACAATTCCTCCAAATTACACGCCAATATCTGATCAGGTAAGTTCAGTGTTCGATTCCATAAATTGTTCTGCAAATTGCTTAGTGATCGCTAGCACATAAGGGAATTTCATGATTTCAGTTAACTTTTGTAAATATCGCTGATTGTGTTTTTGCTGTGATTTATTGCGAAGAATGATGAAGAATTTGGAGATAAACTTTTACGCCGCACGGATTGATTGAATGATTTGGAATATAGCAGATCCGCAAACAACAAAAATGAACAATGCCAGTAACCATGGACCAACTGGATATTGGTTTTCTTTTACTTTCTGAAAATCAAAAGAAATTTTTATTAGTAAATTAATCGATAATTGACATAATGAATATAAAAAAATATGACTATGAATATACTTCACATTAAATTTAAATTAAATATAGATGACAAAGGCTATAATCGCTTTCTGCGAACTGCTGAAAGGTCATTATTAATAAAACGAGAACACAGGCATGCTATAAGGCAATTAAAAATCACATCTCAAAGCTAATCCTATCCTGGAATCTGCAAGGCAAAATAGGTGAATAACTTCGAACTGAAGAAAAAGAGAGATAGATACACACAAAAAGAGAGATAGATAAACAGAGAGAGAGGTAGATAAACAGAGGAAGAGAGAGAGAGAGAGAGAGAGATATATACAGAGAAAGAGAGAGAGAGAGAGAGATATATACAGAGAAAGAGAGAGAGAGAGAGAGATATATACAGAGAAAGAGAGCGAGAGATAGATACAAACACGGTTGCCACTTGAAAATTTTTTTCTGTACCAAAATTGGTTTAAAAAGGTACCATTTCTGTAAAAAAAGGTCCAAAATTTTTTTGTACCTTTTTTTTTCTCGTTCTGTGATTTTTATAGTGTTATAAATGAACAAAATATAATATAGTGCAAAGTTGCAATTATAAAAAAAATTAATTGGAAATATCCACAATAAAATTGGGTCGTCAAAAATGTACCAGTTTTTGAAAATGAGTACCAAATGAAAAAAAAAAAAAAAAAAGTACCAATTTTGGTACTAAAGTACCATAAGTGGCAACCGTGGATACAAACAAAGAGAGAGGTAGATAAACAGAGAGAGAGAGAGGCAATTTGAAAATAGATAAACATGGAGAAAGGTAGAAACACGGTTGCCACTTATGGTACTTTAGTACCAAAATTGGTACTTTTTTTTTTTTTTTTTTCATTTGGTACTCATTTTCAAAAACTGGTACATTTTTGACGACCCAATTTTATTGTGGATATTTCCAATTAATTTTTTTTATAAATGCAACTTTGCACTATTTATATTTTGTTCATTTATAACACTATGAAAAACACAGAACGAGAAAACAAAAAGGTCCAAAAAAAATTTTGGACCTTTTTTTACAGAAATGGTACCTTTTTAAACCAATTTTGGTACAGAAAAAAATTTTCAAGTGGCAACCGTGGGTAGAAATATAAAAATAGATAAACACAAAGAGTATTTCTTCTTCTATTTAGATAAGCCTCATTTAGAGTTCTAACCTCTCAAAATAATGTTTGCAATAATTCAAAAATATGAAAACGCGTAAGCGGAAACTTATAAGGGATTGGACAAATGGATCTTGAATATTTGCTGACATGGTAACCTTACACTAAATACCGTAGACAATTGGCGACTTGACTGTATTTCTAGTTATATTCCTTCACCGTGTACGGGTATTGTCATTAGGCAATACATTGGAGCCATAATAGTAACAAAGTTCCAGTTAGCAGATAATTGGAGGTTTACACACACAAACAGACAAATTCAGTTTCCAGACAGTAAATCTTAACTGATAAAGTAGAAGTGATTAGAGCTAAGATCTGGAACAAGTGCTTGAAAAATGGAGTGAATAGAACTAAGATTCCGCACTTGTAACTAGTGATTTAACCTTTTATATTTTGAAGCGGTTCGGAATTGTCATTTTCATGAAAAAGACAGAATTCGAACAGTAGTTAGTGAGTGGCTAGTATATGCTAACAATTAGAAATTTCAAAGAATTTACAAAATACTAATAAAATCAAAAATATTACTTTAATAGGCCTAATCAAAAAGGCAACTGAGTGAGTATATGAATATATCGTGTATGTATGACGTTATTCTACCTCTGCATGGTAATTCAGGATAAACGACTGAACTTTATTAATAATCAACTGATTCCAAAAAAAAGTAGAAAAATATAGATACAGTAATTCCAGATTTGTTGCATGAGATAGGACAAACGGCACAGCGATTAAGAAACCACTAGTCTATTAGAAAATATATTTCTAACAAATGAGAACAAAGCTAACAGACTTCAAAATTATAATTTTTAGGGCTAGAATTTTAAAGTGATAAACTAGTAACTTTTTCGTCGTCTATACCTATTTGTTCGCCTACAAAATTCACTGCCATTTCCAATTGACCCCGCGACTTCTTGCAGATTGCAAGCATATGGCGTACAAATATATTTAGAATATTATTTGCAATAACATTTATAAAAAATTATATTTAATTTATAAAATAAAGCAATTTAGCATCGACAAGTGTTTTAATCTTATCAACAATGGAAACTGCATTTAAGCAAAATTCGTTTACTGATAAAATTCGAAAATTCTCGCACGCGTAAAAACAAAACAAAAGAAAACAACAAAAACTTGAGTCGGAAATCAATGACGGCGTGGCACTTCAAATTATTTACGTTTTAAAATAACATATGTGATATTTTTAATATTTAAATATTAATAATTTTTGCAATGAAATTTTAAACTTATGTTACCTAAAAATATAGTATAACTTATTTTTTTTTTTTCAAAAAGAAAGTAAATCCTTACCGACGATTTTGGTACATTTCCTCGCATTGTGACATATTTGCTGGCCTTTTCATTTGCAACACGCATCCTTTGTGGTGGAGCCATTTTCGTTGTTGTATTTAATTTTATTTACAAAACAGAAAATCTTTAAAAAAAAAATGACAATTTATTATAAAAAAATGGAGAAAGTAAATACTTGTTTTTCTTCTTTTAGAATGAATATGATTTCAAAACTATTTATATATTTCCCTACTTGTTAACTATTTATTTATGAAGAAGTTAATATTTAAAAAAATGAAACTATTTAAAATCACTTTTTATAATATATATTTATAACATATTTACTTATTATTTTCAGAAAAATGTTAATTTTCCACGTATCCGTTGCCAAATTCACAAACGCAACCAACTCCGTCCACTTTAGTCGTTTATCTACGAACTCAGTATACGAATGACACGTATCAAATCAAACAGGGTTACCATATTACTAAAAGGAAACTCTCGTAAAAAGAGAGCATGATAAACGTTAAATTTAAAAGATTACTTAATACACTGCGTCTACACTGGTTAAACATTGGCAAGATTTTTAGTTACAATACCACATTTTCACTAACATATACAAATTTTACTTTGTGTACAAAATTTGAAATATATTACGTATTTGCATACGAATATGAAAATCTTGCCAAAATCTAATAAGTGTTTTTGCATAATTTATCTTCAAAACTGGTTAGAGTTTGAGCAAATTTTTAGCAACAAAAAAAAAAGTCTGCAAAATTTATTAGTACACCATATATTATTTAATCATGCTGCTAAGGACGTGTGCGAGTTAGGCTAAGTGGATGCTAAACCAAATGGGACTTTTCTTGGGATTTTTTGCACTGCACACATTTAGCCATTTATCAACACGTATCGACACATCACTATATTATCGGCACAACTTAGAATTTCCCTTATTTAGAATTCATATTCAATTATTTTTATAAAATTCAAATCACTCTCATGTGATATATATGTGGTCTATACATATTCATTTGTCAGTCAGTAGTATCAGATACTAGGTCAATGATATCTGAAATTACAGAGTCAAATAAATAATTGACTGAAAAATTGTATTTATCAAACATAAATGCGATAATGCAATCTGAGCACCCTGATATTATTCATAAGGCGACCGTATATTTTTTGTTGTGATAACATATTACTGCTAAAAAGCTAACGAATATATAATATTGAAAGTAAATTCGAAGTGACATTTGCTTAATCAAAAACAGTACTTGCTCAATATTACATGAAAATAAATAAATGACAACCCTGTTAAAATAAGTGCACCAAATTGTCAAAAATGGAGATCGAAAAAAAGAACTCGATATGTTTATCTTAACGAAATGAGGAGTATATTCTTGTTTTGAATATTTCTATTTTTAAGACTATAGTACATATAGTATTAAACTAACGTTATTTAGTACAGTAAAAAACAAGTTTTCTATATTACTCTATAATGATCCAATTATATGAAAGGTCTCATAAAGTAACATGAGAATGATGTATGAATCTTAAATTACAGACCATTTATTAAGGTAACACCATGTCGCAATTATTTATTTTTTTAATTTAGCATAATCTCAAACATGATACTGAAACTACTCATAGCACTCTATGGCAAATAATAGTGTTACGGCAATGACGTAATATCATATAAAGTCTTCATTAGTCTCCACACCTGAGTATTAAGCGCAGCTATGTTTGTTTTCTATTAATTTCACAAAGATTTTGTAGAAATACAAATTATCTTATACCAACACTAGTTATTTAATCTAATTGAGACCAATTAGTCTTCTAAAAAGACCCAGTCCCAGCTTCTTCGAGAACCATTAACTCAAACGCAGTTTTTTAAGACGAGATGTTTTCATGAATTAAAGGTTTAATTACAAAACGCTGTATAATATTATCAAAGTGGCCTTCATCTATGGATGCTTTGATGTGTTTTGATTTTAAAATTATTATCAGTCTTTTTTTAAGTATTTAATAGGAATATGTTACAATTGTTAAAAATTAACTTTTTTTATGCTTTCTTTGTCGTCTTGATGTATCAAAATTCAACTTCTTCAGACTTATTTTAAATGGAATAATATGCAAGGCATTTGAATACTTTTTTAAATTTAAAATTTGTTTAATTAAATTTAAAACCATGTGAATTAACTTCAATTTATTTGAAGGAATTTATTTACTTTTAAAAATATTATGACCACATATTGTTGATTTCCTGCATATATTTTTAGAGCAATGTTTTTAATTTATGTAACCGATTATCTTAAAAATTACTTAGCACGCACAGCCATAGCACTTAAGTCAGCAATGCATTTGTTAAGCGTTTCTTTTTCTTGTTGTGGAGTGATATTAGATAAAACATTGTTTACAATCCAGTTAACCATGTGTTTTTGGTTAATGCGACGCTCAACATGATTACATTCCACTTGATATTGCAAGCGGCGTTTCACCTAAAATTTGTAAACAAAAAAATTAAACCGAATTACATTAAAAAATGACAAAATCTTAAAAATTTTACCTCATTGTAAACATTCATTGCGCGTTCGCGGTAGGCAGCTTCTAATTGGAGAGCAATGTTTTCTTTCTTGGCATCGATAAGCAAAAGAGCACCATCTGCTCGCCATTGTTCCTTTTTCTCATTTTCAATAGCTTCTTTAAGCAATGCAAGCTCCTCTTCTCGGCCTGCATTCCAATCGCCTTCGATTTTCTACAAATGACTTTTGTAGTTTTGCATAATAAAATTTATTGTATTCACGATAAACTTACATCGATCTCGTTATCTAAATATTTGGCTATCGCTGGGCCTAATTTTTTAACTGCAATCACAGCCATAATAGCTAGTGAGAGACCGCTATAATACTCGTGCTCCATGACATATATTTCCTTAGAACACAAATATGTGATCAAACCGACACCAAAAGTGTATGGTCCAGTAACACCAGTTTTATTGTAGAAGAACTGGAACCATTCTTCTGGTATAAAGCCCATACGTACTTTGCCAGGATGTTCTGGACGAATGCGACGTTCAAATTTTTCTGTTGATGAGCCGCCATCACCACCCGCAGCAGGAGTTGCAGAGGTTGCTGCTCTGGCAGCTATTCCGCCAAATGGACGTTGAACTAAAAATATATTTATATTGTTTTTATATTTTGCACAAACTTATTTTTTTATAAATTGCTTTTGACGTTTTGCAAGTTTTGACAATCAAACTGATTACATAAACCACGATGGGTACGAATCGCGTAACCGTACTTTTAATTATACGAATTTTTAAAATTCTATACATCATTTCTAGTTGTTTTTTATTATTTTTAATTGATATTTGTAATTACCTGAAAGTAATGCGGCCCTCGATAACATTTTTATTTGATATTCGGCTTAAGTAAATGTACTCTCGCTCAATACGTCTTCTTTTCACCAAATGACAAACGTTAAATTATTTAACGAAGGAACTTTATTAAAAAATATATTCAACGAAAACAGTTGTCAAAATTAAAGAAACTATTCACAATAGTAAAACAATTTTTTTGAAGCTTTGTTAAGAATTTTTTTGTTAATTTCTAGTTTTTGTTAAAATAAGAGTTTTATTATTATTTTATATTTTTAATTTATGTAAGATTATAAAACTATTTTTAATTTTATTTCTTTTAAATTTTTCGGTGCTAACTGTTACTATAAAAAATTATCATTTTGAATTGTTAATTTTTTCAACAGCATTGTACAATACAATACTTTTAACAGTTTCTGTGAGCAATTGTTTGCAAATCGTCTAACAGTGGTAAATAATGTATAGAAATGCATTAAAAAGTGGTGCTCGTACTGCTTTACAAGCGTGGAAAGTAAAAAACGGTATAACTTTTGTGCATATGTTTACTGTCTTTGTAGAAAATATAGTTTATTAAAGCATATTTACGTATGTCATTGTTTGTGATTATAGTATCTCTTTTTCTTGTATGCACAAATAGATTTAGCAAAATTGCGGTTTGATTTGACTCGGGCAAATGCAGAATTTGAACAGCATTTGTGCAAAGGTTCGTTAGTGTATGAAAATGTGCATTTCATGTTTTTGGAAGTTCGCCAAATAATCTGTCATATTCCACATAACGTCCCGTCTACATAAAACTTAAGTTGCTCAAATTAAATTGTAATACATGTAAAGCTTTGTGTAGAAAATATTGATTTTTTTGCAACTATTGTAAAAATATGTTATATATTTGTTAATAACATCAATTACGATATTATAAAAGAAAAAGAAAACACCTCTATTAGTAATATTTTAAAAACTTTAAAAACCTGTAATATAATCTTAATAATTTTATTTTTATTTATGGTAACACTTTTTGTTTATAAATGCTCTCTTTCATTTTATAATTTTTCCAGCTGTCAATGAGCTAGTCAGTCCTATTAAAAAGCTTAGAGTGACTGCATGTTGTTTTGCTAACGCTTGTACTAATAACTGTTTATATTGTACATTGATAACTACCGCTGCTGATAAACCGTCACAAAATTTACAAAGAAAGTCAACAACACATTTCCTTCATTCGTTTCATAATCGACAACGTATCTTAGAAAACGGCCACCTTAACACAGTGCTCTCGTCCAAACAGTTCGTGAAAGTGCAAAAGCAATTTTATCGCGAGTTTTCTAATATATCGTTGGGAGCGCCAATCAAAAATAGTGAGGCTCCATTACTAGGTGATCTTTGTGATAAATATCGAGCTGTTATAGCA